TTTTTAAACTGCCTTCCTTGAATAAACATATCAATTCACAAAGACTCCCTCCCCCCATTGCATAAAGTCTTTTAAGATTTTTCTCTCTCTGAATTCTCCTTAGTCCACTGGTTGACTCATACGATATTCTGAATTAGAAACTAGGCAACTGGGTTGAACTGAGCATATTGTATGGACCCAAGATAGCATATGTGATAAGAACTGTTGTTCTATTGACCTCAGGAATCACGTGAAGCCCAAAAATTCAAGTTGCTGGAGTGAAACCTTGGATAATAAACATAGGTATGACTTTTATGAGTTCATGAATTAAGTTATTTATTCAGCCATATACTTCGTCTCTCTACAAATGTTTTATCAATGGCCTTGGGCTCCAAAATAAGTTTGAAAAGCTTAGGTATTATTGAAGGTTGTGATGTTAAAGAAACTATTTTAATATTGAATCTTATTACGGCGGCAAGGCTATTGGTTGGGCAATATTGGAAGAAAGATTCTTTGCCTGCTGTAGAAGAATGGTTGCTTAAAGTTTCTAATTTAGTAGAAATGGCTAAAATTTCTGCTTATTTGAAGGATCATTCACAAGAAAGATAGATCTCGGTGTGGAGAAGATGGATAAACTTTGTACAGAATAAATATGGGATTAGAAAGTATTATTTAGTTTTTGATTAACTTATAGTTTAAACTGGGAGTTGTTTGTATTTGAGTTAAAGTATTTTAGGGATTTGGTTATTGGTACAGTTGGATAAGCTTAGTTAGAATTTGTTTGTTTATTTTTTATCTTTTTTAACCCTGTAATCAGCTCTGGGAAATGAGGGAGGAGGGTTGGGGTGGGGGGAAGGGAGGGAGGGAGGTTTATTGTAATAATGTATTTGTATAAAACTTTTCAATAAAAAAAAACAAAATAAGTTTGAAAAGCAAAGCAAAGCATAAAAAATAGAAATCTATTCTATATGGCCCACTTTTATTTAACCACACTTCTTCAATTCACGGGTTATTCTGTAAGACTATGGAATTTTCTGTTCTCCCTAGAGATTTTTGATGACAGGGATCTTTCGGTAGGAAAGATCTATAAACTGATATAAAGAACGCACAAAATGGAGCGTAACTGTCCTTCACATCTTGCATTTCTCTGAATACTGAAACGTAGTGACTACCATTGTGCTTTCCCCACTTCCTCACATTACAATATTGATGTTAGCTAAGCCAGGGGAGTAAGGGTCATCGATAATAAGTCTTGGCATCTGGGCAATGCATAGTAGTGGGTGGCAAGGACACTGAAAAAGTCAACATGCCAGTTACAACTGCAGAGTTGAAGTCCTACCCTGTCATGCTGACACATTTATTTATTCAAGAGTTACAAGGTCATTCAACTCAGGCCATGTGACTCTGGGGACTGTACAACATAAAATGCATATTAATACAAGAAGTTTTAAAAACAATGGCTAAAAATACAGCACAAAAGCTAAAATGTACAATGGCAAGAAAGCCGAGAACAAAACCAATCTCAATTGCCCTCTAATACTTAGAGAATTAAAAGGGTTTGGGGCTTTGATTATATGATTGGGGCTTTGATCATATGGTTGCAGATCCCATTTTGTCCTTGGGGTGAGGAGAGGATGCTGAAATGGCAGCCATTAGCACTTAACTGTGACAAGCCTCCACTAACCTTAAGGATAATTTTATTTATTAGATTTTTATCTCACCTTTATTTCTTTCTTTGTCAGTAACTCAAGGTAGCAAACACACACAATATTCCTTCTTCTTCCTATTTTTCCTCCATAACAACAACCTTGTGAGATGGGCTGGCCTGAGTGACTGACCCAAAGCCACACGGTTGGTTTTCATGCCTAGAACTCACCATCTCCTGGTTTGTAGGCTGGTTCCTTTGCCATTAGACCAAACTGGCTTTTACAAGCTACTACATGCAGCTTCTTTGTACAAACCCCGTTCTTTCATAGGGCAAAGAAGTGCCAATTTCAGTTATGTGGTATTACAACAGTTTGCCTTTTTCTCAGGGATGCTATTGGGAATTCTAGTGAGCTGCCTGTTAAGGTGGGCAGAGCGCTGTAGCAACTACAATGTGCAATTCATATTTTGCAGTCATGAGACGGGTGATGCAAGAGTCCCTAACTCTGGCAATTGCGCCATTTTAATGTTGGGTCATTTTAACGTCAAAAAAAAAAAATCTAAACTTTTTTTTTACAGCGAATATTCAGAAAACCCCACAAGCCTAATTTGCATCATTTCTGTGATTCACCCAGAGGGAAAATGGGGAAAGACTGTACGTGTACCAAAGCAGTACATGATGCAATCCTAAAAGTGTTTCTCAACCTTGACAATTTTAAGGCATGTGGACTTCAACTCCCAGAATTCCACAGCCAGCATTGCTGGCTGTGGAATTCTGGGAGTTGAAGTCCACATGCCTTAAAATTGTCAAGGTTGAGAAACACTGCAAGTATAATCAGATTTTGTTGGTTTTGACACATAGTGTAAAGAGGTACTTTTTCCATAAAAAAGCTCTGTTTTGCGGGGAAACATAATACGAGCATGACAAAAGGGAACCCAGCCACGTTTAGAGTACAAAACTGAAAAGTTTTGCTACACTCCTACAAAAGAAAAGGGAAAAAGATCTTCATCAAACGCTCTTGCATATATTCCAGTGCCGTCATCCCTCTTTTTATTTAGCAAACTGTTTATTGCTGAAAGGATTTTGAACCACGCTAAGCCCGGTAAAAACTTCAGTTTTTCCAACTGCCCGATTACAATTAAAACTCAGGGTCAGTTGGGGGGGGGGTGAAGACACCCCGCGAGATCGGAACACGTTGGAAAAACTTCTAGACGCGCGCTGAGCGCCTACGCTTAAATAAATGAGATTAATTTTGTCCCTTACCGGCCGCCGTTCGACGTCATTTCTTTGCCCTCTTCATTGGGTGAAACCACAGGGCCAAGGAAGTGGGGGGGGTGAAATAATCCCGGAACATGGTTGCGTCCAGGCGAACATTTTCTCCGCAAGGTTTGCTCAGTTGATTCCTCCGCAGGTAGAATCGCTGCGTTTGTTTCGCTTGCGTGGCTTTTGCGCGGCTGCCGCTGCTTTCGCGTGCTTGCTGAACGTTTCCCTCCGCGTATCATTTCTGTCCTCGATTTTTAAAAACTGGCATGCATTGTTTTTTTTTTAAAAAATGCATAACTTGAATGAGTTCCCCCCCCCTTCCGCTTGCTTGCTATCCTAAGAAAGCTCACGTGGACAATTGCAGGCGAGCATTGAGGGCCAGAAGCGCCGGATCGGCTTGCATTCACACAACCTGGAGAGAGAGAGCAAACCCGGGGGTTGCATTCGCACCAGCTGCAAACCTTGGTTAGTTCCAGGGCGACTTAGTCTGCTGGGCGTGAATGCAATCCAGCCAGTTTAGTTAGTTTTTTTTTTAATGGTCTTGGATTATTGCACAAACCCCCAGAAAGGGGGGTTGAGTGAGCGTCTTGTGTGAACTGGGGCCCGAGCAGCGTGATCATAATTGCTAAAGGTCGGGGTCAGGAGAAGATGCACAACTTTGTGATTAGAGGACTAATTCCAAGAAATGCTGATGAAATCCTACGCTCCTCTTATTCTGCAACTTAACTCAGTATCCTATAATCGCCTCCGTTCTTGTTTCCTGCATGGGGGACAAAAATTCCCAACTAGCGAGTTCAGAGCTGTGACCCCAAAACATACATTATTGGTAACAATGCATGTTTGATATAATTTTGCAATCATCCAAGGAACTTTGGTTGAATTGAGGGGGATGAAAAACAGAACATGGAAGAAAATTAGAATTAGCTGGCTTTGGCTTTGTTGGAAGAAAAATAACATAGGAATTAAGAGTTGCCTGAAACGAGAACTGGAGAAAGGAGACCGTGGCTGCAGTGACTCTAAGCCCATAATGTGGCTTGTTGATTTAGCCATCAGGGTTTATTCAACATGATGGTTTCTGCAGAGCCAGCAAACAGATTTACCTGGCTGTAATTGAACAAACCCAGGTTTAGCTAGCTACATGACCTTTATTTATTTTTAACTGAACAAACCAAGGGTAAGCAGGATAGGCAAGCTTTACCTATCTAATTGAGCAAACCAAGGTTTAGCAGATGTATAAGCTCTGCCACAGACTTGGAGCACAAACAACTGGTGGGGGAGGCCAGGAGAAAGACTTGTGCAGGGATGGTTACCTTGCTGCCTCTTGCTGTGTTTACACAACAGTTTAATGTCGCTTCTGAGCCATGTCTTGCTGACCACCACAGTACACTGAGGCACCAGGCTAAAAACTACTTTAGGCATGAAAACCAGCTCTGGGGAACCCTTCCTCTTTCTCTGCCCAACCCCCACCTCACAGAGAAGGAAGGAATATTATGTATACAGAGGGTCCACGACTTACAACCACAGTGGAGCCCAACATTTATGTGGCTGAGACATTTGTTAAGTGAGTTTGCCCCCATTTTATGACCTTTCTTGCCACAGTTGTTAAGTGAATCATGGCAGTTGTGAAGTGAATAACACGGTTGTTAAGTGGATCTGGTTTCTCCATTGACTGCTTGTCAGAAGGTTGCAAAAGGGGAACTCACCCGACCTCCCCCCCCCCAGACACTGCGACCGTCATAAACACGAACCAGTTGGCCATTTATGAAGCAGTTATCCAGTGTCTGACTGCAAAGCACAAGACCGTGTGGGGATGCCGCAATGGTGGGAAAATGGTGGCAAATCACTTTTTTACAGTGCCGGTGTAACTTCGAACGTTCACTAAAAAAAACTGTTGTAAGTTGAGGACTACTTGTATTCGCTGCCTTGAGTTATTAGACAGACAGACAGACAGACAGGAAGGAAGGGGAAAGGGGAAGGAAGAGACAGACAGGAAGGAAGGAAGGAAGAGGGAAGGAAGGAAGGGGTGGCAAAAAATCTCAGACTAGAAACAAACCTAAGAAGAGAGAGCATCTTATCCAGGCATGCAGAAGCAGAAGCCACGGCTGTGGCTGATCCGCTTCCAGCGGGTTGTGTGAACGCAGCCCCGGAGGCTGCTTCCGTCACGGCTACCTCATCGCCCGCCTGCCTCCCTCCGCCGAGAGAAAATAACGGAAAGGTGCCGATTGGCCGAGCGCGCCGGAGCCTCCCCGCGGCTGCCGGGTTGCGCCGCGCCTCGCCTCGCCGGGCTCCGGGCTCGGGAAGGGATGCGGCGGGGCGCTGCGCCCGGCTCCCCGCGGGGACAGCATGACCCGGCGCGATCGGCTCATGAAGGGAAGACCTCAGAGGCAGCCTGAGGCCGGCGCCGACTCCCGGGCGGGTGAGTGGCCGAGGCGGAGCGCAGGAGGGATGCGCGGCGGGCGGGGAGGAGGATGCCCGCTGCAGGCGAGACGGGGGTTGGAAGCCCCCTCCCCTCCAGCTGGGCTTCGCGGGGCTCCAGTCCGGCGAAAGCGAAGATGGGGAGGTCCGCCCTTCTCCCACCCCGATGTTTGCAAGCTTCTCTATCTAACTCGGGTGCATTGCAGCAAAATCTGCTTTCGGTCGGGGGGCAAATCTGTATCACACCCGCCCAAATTTCAGGCCATATTGATGCGGGGGTTGGAGGAGAGGGTGGAAGGCGAGAAAGGCGGCCTGGATCTGCCAGCCTGACAGATCCAGAGGGGACGCTGTTCATACAATACACAAAACCCGAGGAAGTGAAATCCACCCATTTTACTGGGTTTGTAGTAAGGAAGGTTGGAAAGGAAGAGGCGCTTTGGCCACCAAATCCAGGGGTTTAAAACTAACCAAGATTCCTCTTGGTGACTGTCACCATCTTAAGGGGTCGAGTGAAGTATACGTAGTGTGAACCTGGTTGCTGAGGTGGGGCTGCTCTTGTTTTATAGGGCTTAGGCCTGATTTAATGGTATGTGAATTAGGAAATGATGCTGTGGGAAGGACCGGAATTGGGGACATCTTGGGGCAGAAGATGAAACTCCAGCGATGTCAATCACACCAAAGCACCGCTTGCTTTTATTGTATTATGTTATTTATTAAATTTATATGCCTGCCATCTCATTCTCCAAAACCACTCTGGGTGGCTGCATACAATACTTGTGTCCTTATTTTGGCGTCATTGGGGGTTTGCCACAGCAGCCGCTGACCAGAATGCACCAGAATTTGAATGCACAACCTTTCCAGGCATGCTATAGGGGATTAATGCTCGAACGAGCTGGGGTGCAGTATCTCTGGTCAACCCTATTTACAGACACCCTTTTTCTGAATTCAGCCCCGCCATCTTCCACCACTGTATCCCAATTCCTTGCAGATTTGCTGAAAAATTCTGCACTGCATGCTGGATTCCCACAAGGAAGCCCCTGAACAATATTTGAAGGGGGCAGACTCTTCAGATGTGAGCCAACTATGGCTATGATGGGCTGCCTTGAGTATTATACTGTACAGTAAAGGCAGTTCTCGATTTATGACAATTAGGAACAGAATTTCCATTGGGGAGTCGTTCCCAATTTTACCACCTTTTTTTGCCACCGTTGTTAAGCAAGTCACTGCCATTGTTAAGTGAACATCATGCACTCCATTAAGCGAATTTAACTTTCCTCATTGACTGTCTGGTGGAAGCCACTAATGGTGCTCACATAATCCTAGGACTCTATAACTGTTTAAAATACATGCCAGATGGCAAGTGCTCAGATTTAAAGACCCGGTAGCTCCATTTGACACTGTTAAAATCCACCTGAATGCTAAAACTGAGCCCATGTGGACTTCAACGGTGTTTCTCAACCATGGCAGCTTGTATGCGATTCTCCAATTCTGGGAGTTGAAGTCCACTTGTCAAGTTGCCAAATGCTTCCTTGGCAAGTTATACAAACCAGGCCCTTAGCTTATGGATCAGTGTATTCTGCACATTGTGCCTAGAGACAGTATTATGTGGAGACAGCCATAGAGAGATTCAGAAATTACTTATTTCGGCAAACTTTTGTGGCATTGAAGATACGCCGTGAACTACTCTCTATTTGATGTTTGGCACCTTAAAAGCCTGCCTCGCATTTCCAGACAGGTTGCAGCTACTGCCTAGAAACTGCAATTCCAATATCTGCAGTTTTCTCTGGACACCTCAAAATAATCTAGTCCAAGAGCGGGCTTCCGGATGTTTGGATTCCAGCATCCTCTGGCCATCCTCCACCAGCTCGGCCGCTGGCAAGGCATTTGGGGGGTCGTAATCCACATTTCATGGCTTCTGTATATGTGGGCACCAGGTTAGAAATGCACCCAGATCTCCAACTGAACAATTTCGACTTAGAAAACGGGGTCCCTCCAGTTCCAGAGAATACTTTCATCTCTGCTTGTTTAAGCCCCAATTTTTCTTGTTGACCCCCTCCCTTCCTCCTCCCCCCTCAGAGCAGCCCATAATCCCGTAGCTGAACTCATTTCTCTGTCAATATACTAGTTTCTCCTCTCCGGCCTGTATTCTGAACAGGTTACCATGGCAACACCACACTGATGCCAAGTTGAGCAATAGCAGAATCACGGCCATAATTGGATCCCAGGGCCTTGTGATACAGGGGCAGCCCCTGGGAGAACCAAGCTATTGAAACGCGGCTGGTTAATGGAGGTTTAATCTGGACAGCACCAAACTACTCCATACCAAACCTAAGCTAGGTTTACAAACGAATTTGCCTGCTGATGCGTAATCATGACGGTTAGTTATGGCGTGGTTGGGGGGAGTAGGAGGGGAAGAAGGAACCCAGTTGATTAGTTACCCCAGTGGTTCTCAACCTTTTTAATGCCGCGACCCCAACCAGTCGTAAGTCAATGACTACTCAACTGGTCGTAAGTCGAGGACTACTCAACTGGTGCAGCACCATTTGCAGAATGGGACTTTTGGCGGGCTCAGCAGGGCAGAGACAGCCTGGACAATTCCTATTGGCTTTTGAAAGCCAATAGAATTAGACTCTATTCAAGAGAGTCTATTCTATTGGCTTTCAAAAGCCAATAGAATAAAAGGGAGTAGCACAGCTAAGGAAAAGGGGGAAAAAATTGGCAGACTGCGTTGTTTGGTGACCCCCGTGAAATGGTCGTTCGACCCCAAATGGGGTCCCGACCCACAGGTTGAGAACCACTGAGTTACCCCGAGCTCAGTTTTATTCACCGTTGGCGATCGAAAAAGGGGAGATTGATAAGTTTGCAAGGGGGCCAAATTGCATTCTAGGTAGTCCTCGACTTAATAACAGTTCCTTTAGTGACCGTTCATAGTTACAATGGCACTGGGAAAAAAAGTGACTTAGGACCATTTTTCAGTTACGCATTTTGCAGCTTCTCCCTGGTCACGTGATCAAAATCCAGACACTTGGCAACTGGCTTGTATTTGTGACGGTTGCAGTGTACAGGGTCATGTGATCGCTTTTTGTGACCTTCTGACAAGCAAATTCAGTTAACAACCGTGTTACTAATTGAACAACTGCAGTGATTCACAAGAACTATGTCAAGACAGGCCGTAAATGGGGCAAAATTCAGCAAAATTCACTTAACAAATTTCTCACTTAGCAACATCAATTCTGGGCTCAGCTGTGCCCATAAGCAAATGATGGAATAGATCGTATTTCATTATTTCTATATAAACAATTTTTTACCTGATACTATGAATCTTATATTTCCCCCCACTATGTGTGTTTTATTGTGCTTTTCTTCCATGATCCAATCTTTCAGTATAGCCTAAACTGTAAATCTGGAGTTATTTATGCAGTGAGTAAAGTTAAAATTTAAAAATCAACTTCTGTCTGTTAAATACAAGGGATCCAAAGTGTACAAAGGGTATTTTATTCTCTAGGGATAGTCCTTGTTTAGCGACCACCATTGGGACCAGCAACGTGGCTCTTAGCAAAATAGTCGTTAAGTAAAACTACAGCTATGCTTAGTTTTGTTTTACAAGTAATCCTCAATTTACGACCTCAATTGAGCCCGTCTCAGCTGAAAGTCACAATGGTTGTAAAGTGAATAACTACAGGACTACACCTGATTTTACGAGCCCTTGTTTTGCAGGGGTCATTAAGCGAATATGGCAGTCATTAAGCGAACCCATTGTTTGCACTTGGGCTGTTTTGTCTGGAAACCAGAAGTAAACACCAGTTTCTAACAAAAACATTGTAAGACCCAGTCAGGTGACGTGAATGCTGCAAACAGTCAAAAATGCAGGCTGTTTCTCCCGAGTGCCCAAAATATGCTCACATGGATGAGGGGGCAGATGTCAGATCTTCAAATCCGTGTCACACGACCCATTTTCAGGGTCCATCCAGTGGTGGGATTCAGCCGGTTCGCACCGCTTCGGCAGAACCGGTAGGTAATTTTTTGTTGCCCAGGCCCAGAATGGACTTCCGGAAGCGGCATCCACACAGAGAACTGGTTGTTCCCATATTTGAATCCCACCACTCCTTCCTTCCTTCCTTCCTTCCTTCCTTCCTTCCTTCCTTCCTTCCTTCCTTCCTCCCTCCCTCCCTCCCTCCCTCCCTCCCTCCCTCCGATAGGATTCAGGCAATTCGTACCACTTCGGCAGAACCGGTAGCTAATTTTTTTGTTGCCCAAGCCCAGAATGGACTTCCGGAAGCAGCATCCACGCAGAGAACCGGGTATTCCCATAGTTGAATCCCACCACTGGGTCAGTCGTAACTTTGCCCGGTTGTTAAGCAACCAGTTCTGAGTCGAGGACTACCTTTACGAAGCTGAGTAGGTGGCCAATATGAAGACTGTTCCCAAAATTTTTCATCAGTGTTGAAAGTACAAAGAGTCACTAAAAGAGGCAGTTGCTAAGCAAGGACCTGCATCTCTGCTGGATTTCTGGTAGTTAGTGAGATACTTTTCAGGCATGCCTTGTTCTCTGATTAGCGGAAACAGGAGAAGTAAAAGACCTGTTTTGCTTAGGACTGATTTGCTTTTTGAAAGGATGGATAAAGCTGTTTAAACTGAGCCTGACTCCCCTCTAACTCCCCCCTCCCCGCTTTATTCTCTTCCCTCCTCACCCCCTCCCCGTGCCTGCAGGTTATATTCTCACTAGGCCAACTCTTGTCCTCATGCTGGAAAGGGGAGAAGAGCCCTGTGTGAGCAACAGCAAGAACGGAGTGGGGAGCAGCCTGCTGAATGGCAGCGTTGCAGGTAAGGAAGGGCGAAGAATGTGAGTCATTTATTGTTTGCCAAAACGACGCAAATTGCGTTTCTCCAAACGGTGCAGATCCAAAATCACAATCCAACCCTGTGTGCATTCTTTGGATAAAACAGTAAATAAATACTTTAAAAAAAAAAATCCCTCCATTTAACTTCTGCCTAATGTCAAATATAGGTAATCCTCACTTACCGACTGTAATTGGGACTAGGAACTCTGGTCACTAAGCGACAGTCATAAAGAGCGCAACACTGTGTGACTGCATCAACTTAATGGTGGAACCTCCATCTGTCGCCCATTGCTGTCGTTAGGTGAATCCTACACAAGTCGCAGCGTCCCACGGTTGCCGAGTCGCCGTTTGTGACCTTCTCCCAGCTTCCCTATTGACTCTGCTCGTCTGGGGCTGGCAGCCAAGGTCACAAATGGCAATTATGAGATGCCACAACTGTCATAAACACTGCCAGTTGCAAAGCATCCAAATTCCAATCGTTTGGATGTTGCGGTTGCAAGGCGATTGCCAAGCTGATGACCGAATTGTCATCGACAGCCACAACTGTGAGAATCCATCATAAAACCCTCTCATTCAGTGCCAACTTTGATTAAGTTGCTGGATAAGTGGTTGTTAAACAAGGACTGCCTATATTCCACCTACAGAATAGCTGGCAGACAACAGAAGGAACTTGAGGCAGGCAAATGGGACGCTTGGTGAGGAATCCTCTATATTTTTTTTGATTTTTTTTCTCCCTTCCTTCCAGATTCCCAAGCCTTGAAAGAGAACGCCAAGTCACCTTCGCCCTCGGCTCTCCCTTCCCCGCCCGCCACGGAGTCTCCCAAGCCACCCCGTCCACGCCGCCGGCGCCCTCCAGCTGTCCTGCCCTCGGACCGTCCCTATCAGTGCAAAGATTGTGGCAAGCGTTTTGTGTATCGCTCCAAACTGGCCACCCACCAGTGGACTCACTGCGCTGAGCGCCCTTACAAATGCCCTGATTGTCCCAAGAGTTTTAGTTACCCGTCCAAGTTGGCCGCCCACCGACGTACGCACACTGGGGAGCGCCCCTTCCCCTGCTCTCTGTGCCCCAAGCGCTTCGGACACCGCTCCAAGCTGGCCGCCCACCAGTGGATCCACACGCCGGAGCGCCCGTACAAATGTGCCGATTGCCCCAAGAGCTTCTGCTATCCTTCCAAGCTGGCTGCCCACCGCCGCACGCACACGGGGCAGCGGCCGTACCCTTGCAGCCGCTGTGGGAAGAGTTTCTGCTACCCCTCGAAACTGGCTGCTCACCAGCAGATCCACGCGGCCACCGCGGCAGGACGGCCTTATCCGTGCATGCGCTGCAGCAAGAGTTTCCGGCAACTGCGCAACCTCACTCTCCACCAACGGGTGCATGAGGAGGGAGAAGTGGGCGATGACTTAGCCCAGGACAAGAGCCACAGCAGTGGAGACAGGTCCTAAGGAAGAACACTGGCCTCTGTGAGGGCACGGGGGGAAACGTGGATAATGTGCAAACTTGGTAGCGGTGGGATCTTTGTAAATATTGGAAGGTTACGATGGAGGTCAGGGATAGCAGTGTAACCTCCAGCCACCCATAAGTTCTCTGTTTTCGGCTTTGATGGCAAAATGCCAAATGACAGGCTCCCCTCCAGAGGCCAAGTTGGGCACACCGTGCTGAAAACTGCCCTAGGAACCTTGTTTCTGCAGTGCCCCGTGGCCTCTCCTACAACCTTGTTTTAAGTTAATGCAGACTTGTGGTTTGTTTTGCATCATTTTAATCTTCTGGTTCTTACAAAACACAATCCTTCCACTCCATAGTCCCCATCAGCTTTGTGCCAGCGAAACAAAACCACCGTTGAGATTCTCACACTAATCACATTTAGAGAAGTGAATGCCTGCACCGAATCTCACTGTCAGGAGAACGGAATCTGTTAACGTTCTTTGCACAAAAGGAGAAACCTCTGTCTGTGGCTGTGTATAGTTCTGTTTATGCTCAACCGGTGCATGCTTGTGCCAGAATGTGGATCTCAGCCCACCTGTCATCCAAGGGTCTATAAACTTGCGTTATCTGCATTGTGCATTAGACGGGCTGTGCCTTGACCAGTCGACCTTTGGCCGTGGAAATTGGAGGTTTAATATGCCTGAGCACATCATATCCCATTGGACAGGAGTAGTGTCTACTTTTAAGAAGTCTCTGATTTTTACAAAACCGAAGCCGAGTTGGACAATGTGGCAATTGGTGAAATCTGCCAGTGGGATCGCTTAATACACAAATTCCAGGAAGGAGTAGGCAACAGTTTATGTTGAAAGGGTTGTAGAAACAGAAAACTTAATTTTGCAAATTCACACGCTGTCCAGGTTTGTAGTTTACACGTTGCATCAAAAGATGCCTCAGGTCACTTCAGGATTGGCGTGGGTAGTGTGTTAAGGGTGGGCAAGTGCATCAGAAGCACGCAGAGAAAGCCGACTTTACACATGAATTTCTTGGGCTAAAAGGGACTGTTATCATTTTATTTTCACTATGTAGTACACACAATTTTATAGCCTGCTTCCTTGTTACTCCTGTGTGTTTGGTTTACTGTTCCACATACCTAAAGACTCTGAACATTTCTATTTTGCCCTCATTGTTGAATATTAAGTTCCCTCTTGGATTCTTCTCTCCACCTGTTTTTCTCCCATGCTCTTCTAGACCCAAGTCCGTCTTTCACTACTATCCACAATTAATACACAATCGCTATTAAAACCCAATACATGTAGTCCTCAACTTACGACAATTGAGCCCCCAATTTCTGTTGCTAAGCGAGACATTTGTTAAGTAGGTTTTTGTCCCATTTTACGACCTTTTTTGCCACAGTTCTTATGTCAGTAACAGGATTGTGAAGTGAATCTGCCTTCCCCACTGACTTTCTTGGTGAGAGGTCTCCAAAGATGTGACCCCAGACATTGCAACTGTCATAAGTATGAGTCATTTGCTAAGCATTTGAATTTTGATCACCTGACCACGGGGATGCTGCACAGTTGTGTGGAAAAAAAACCACGTCATTTGCTTCAGTGCTGCTGTTAACTTGGAACAGTCGCTAAACAAACTGTCGTAAGTCGAGGACTACCTGCAATGTATCTTTCCACTTCCCCACAAACTAGCACGGACGGATTCCGCGCAATTAAGGGAAGGTATTTCAGCTCAGATTTTGGTGAAAGGCAGGTGGAAGTATGTGCGATTGATTCATAGTTTGTTTGTAGACAATATTAAAAAAAAAAAAAAGTAAAGCTCCATTAGATGCTGGAGTTTTTGTCTCATTTTTCTTGGGGAAAATAAAATATAAAAGCAAACACAGTTTAGAACAGTGTTTCTCAACCTTGACAATTTTAAGGCATGTGGACTTCAACTCCCAGAATTCCACAGCCAGCAATGCTGGCTGTGGAATTCTGGGAGTTGAAGTCCACATGCCTTAAAATTGTCAAGGTTGAGAAACACTGGTTTAGAAATTAAGGTAGGCTTGGCCCGTGTGAGAAAGGTTGGGGTTTTAAGCTAAGTCACAGAGGGCAGGTCCAGCATGCTTAGAACAGGGGTAGGCAACCTTGGCTCTTTTAGGATTCGTGGACTGCAACTCCCAGAATTCCTGAGCCAACATGGCTTAGCATGGCAACCTCTCCCTTTCCCCCTCAGCATGGCTGGCTCAGGAATTCTGGGAGTTGAAGTCCATGAGTCATAAAAGAGCCAAGGTTGCCTACCCCTGAGTCCTAGAAAGAATCTAGGTCTATATAGGGCAGTGGTTCTCAACCTTTCTAATGCCGCGACCCCATAATACAGTTCCCCATGTTGTGGTGACCCCCAACCACTTATACATCACCGGGTGCCAGGGGCGTGGCCAAAGAAAAGGGGAAAAAAATGGCGGACAGCCTTGTTTGGCGACCCCCGTGAAATGGTCGTTCGACCCCAAATGGGGTCCCGACCCACAGGTTGAGAACCGCTGATATAGGTACTCCTCAACTTAACGTCCACAATGGAACCTGCCCATGTTCACAAATTGTCTGGATCGTAAAACCAGGTCATCAGAGGACCAGACTCATTCATTCCCGTTTTTTTTTTGGTAGCGGTTGTAAAGCGAATCCGTTGTTTGCTATGAGGTGTTTTTGCAGAAAAGCCAGAAGCAAATTGCTGGTTTGGGGCAAAAAAAAAAAAAAAGTAGTAAAATGTGGTCACATGATCATGAGATGCTGCAAATGGTCATAAAGGTGGGTCACCTGTCGAACATCCAACAATGAGGTCCTATGACCCTGGTGGGAGGGAGAAGTGGCCATCGGAACTTCAGAAGTTCCTTTGGGTGGGTCTGCCGTAACTTTGAATGGTCACTAAGCAACTGGTTATAAATCTGTGTTTCCCCAAGCCCCATTTCTGCATATCAGACAGCAAAGACAGAGGCAGATGGAGGGCACCATCTCTTCTTGGAAGCTTACAAAGAACGAGTCATTTTGCTAGAAATACTAGGCTTAATTAAGTGGACAACAATCTGATCTAACAAATTCTCAGCTTTGCTAGCTGATGCTTAACACTTAATACTAACGGCATCAGTCCTTGACTTATAATAAAAACCCAGAGCACTCCAGCTTAGACCTCTTACTTAGCAGTTTCAACTTATACTTGTTTTTTATTTAAAAAAAAGCAGTATATACTCAAAAAAAAAAAAAAACCTGATCCTAACCCTAAGACGTATCAAGGGTATGTTCTGCTTACTTCTGAACGCTGTTGTTGTTAGTACAGCTTCTGAAAGTGGCTTAAACATCCATCTGGGACTATATGAACAAGACAAAGCCAGGGCAGAGAGAAAACAGAGTGCACAGGTTGGAAGATTTTACTGTGCAGTATTTTACTTTCAACCTTTTCTGCCCCGGTTTTGCTTCGTTGCCTCACCTGGAAGAATTGGAAGCTGTTTCAGAACTGCCTCTTGTCATTTGAAACCTTAGAATCTTGTAAAATATTTAAAGGCATTATCTCCTCACCAAGGGAATAGGAGTCCTACTTTGAGGTCACAGAGGAATATGATCTTTCCCTGGCAGTATCGGTAAGTTCTTAAAAGATACCTCTTGGAGATTTGCATCTTGTTTTATTAAAAACGTTTAACATGGTATAGGAAAGGAGAACAAGAATACATCCCGTGAAGTTTTGTCGCCGTTTGCCAGAACCTCAGAACAACTGCTAAATCAAGGTGTAAATTTATAGAAAACAAGCCCTTAGAGTCCTTGTGGAACACAGACTGTACGGTAGTAAAACACCGAGCTAGTTTAGCTGCCACGGCTACTCCTGTCTCCTTACAATTTAGCATCTGCGTGTAGCAGCTCTTAAAAGAGACACATGCAAATTCCTTTTGCGCTCTTTTTAATGTGCTCTTAAAGCTAATTTCTTGACACAAGCCTCCCTTGCAATAGCCCATCCTCTGAGACCAGGAATATATGCTCTGTAACAGCTTTCTCCAATCCCAGCCCCTTCCAGACATGCCAATTGTCATTCCCAGAATTCTCTGTAACTACTAGAATGGCTAGCGAGTTCTGGGAATTGAAGTCCACCAACTGCAGCGTCCTTTTTGGGGAAGACAGGTCTGCCTCATCTGTACCAAGGAAAATCCACTTGCAAGATGAAAAGAACTGAGCACACTCCATCCGAAATGGAGCGTTAGTTAATAGTTTTAGCCACTCCTTATCTGGACAAGTTCTGAATGGTCAGGATAACAGATGAGAAGGGATGAATGTACAGCCAAAATTATTCTACCTCTTGATTTAAAAAAGAAAAGAAAAGAAAAAGAAGTGGTAAGAAGGAGAACTTCCTCCTCAAGTATCTCACTCCTATTTATACGGTTGAGTTCCAGCACAAAAAAACAAAATTCAGGCTCCAAGGAAAATCTCTGGCTTCCATCTTGGAATCTTTATAAAAATCTGCTTGAGAATTAATTACTACACTTCAACTGACGGATGTCTCAACAAGAGATGGGCCTCCAATTCTGCAGTGCCCACCACAAGTAAAACAGTCCCACCACTGATTAACATTTTTCCCTGTGGTTAAAGCAAGGAAGAAAGAACCAAGAGTAGAATGGCTGGCTTGATTGCAAATATAGGACTGGGAAATAAAGAAATCAGTTGTAAAAACGAGGTAGATTATTCAAGAACACCCCCTCCCCCCCCCAGTCCAGTTTACAGCAACTGAAAAGTGAGAAGGAGCGTGAACTTTGGGGAATGGGAGATCATTCTGGAACAGTCTTAACCTTAAAAATGTTAAGATGTGTGGACTTCAACTCCCAGAATTCTGAGAGTTGAAGTCCACTTATCTTAACGTTGCCAAGGTTAAGAAACACTGCTCTGAAAAGAACATGTACAAATGGTCTAATATTTTTTCCCTCCAAAAAAGATAGTAGACCAGTGGGCAAAACAATTCATTGTGAAACTAACAATGCTCTGCAGAGATGAACAACTGCATTATGAAATTAATAAAGCAGTTTCTTATTTGCCTGCAGAGGAACTTGGAAAAATTCATTGAAAATGAAAGGAAGGCTTCAGCCACAGGAGCCTACCCCAGAAATGTGATACAGCTTAAGCAATCATGGTTTCTTCTAATACTTCCGTTCTCAACTTTGCTACCATCTTTTATCTAGGCCAAACACCCTCCTTTCAGAATAATTGGTCAGAGAAAGTGTTGACTTAGCTGACTGAGCCCGTACACAACACTTTTAATCAGAAAAGGGCATTTGTCAACACAAATCAGGATTGGGTGGGGGGGGTCATGAGATACCGTGTTTCCTGGGTGGTGGTGGTGGTGATGTTTTTCTAAAAACGTACATGTGGAAGGCAGGAATACTATTAGTCAATCTCTGCCTTTTAAAAATGAGCTGGGCTTTGTCTGCAGACTGTACACTCAACAAACAAAAGTTTACCTACACCAATGATGGGACACGCCCCATCTGTACTATCATGAAACCGGAACCACCCTGGGTAAAAAATGGACAGGTTTTTTTCTTCTGTGAAAGCCCCAAACTACCTACTAGGAAAATAGGTTTGCTGCTGTAAAGGGTTCAGTGTATGAAGAAAGACATTTCCATAAGGAGAGGCAAAGATGCTCAGCCAGAACACATCCCCACAATACCCTGGGAAGACAATGAAGAGAAAGAGGACCACCAATACTAAGTGAGAAAGGCAAGAAATACAAAGGCATGGAAGAGATTTGTGAATTTCTCTCTGTGCATTTAACTTTTGCCTTTGTTGAACTCCAGGCTCTAATTTTAAGGGACTCTAGCCCTGTTCCAGAAAAGCCCACAGCAAGCATTGCTTTCCAAAAGCAGACTAGCTTCCGACATGATCTGGTGGAACTGGGTGGGGGAAAAAAACGTAAACAAAGACCATCCAAACCACCCCAGTGTTGGGAGGGCTTAAAAGGAAGGCAATTTCTCCAACAGGAGTGCCCTACTTCAACTATCCAGGAGGCTAAGGACTTTTCCCCCCAAGAGGCGAATATACATTATATACAAACTCCAGCAGGGATCCTCCTACACTCGTGGCACCACAACGTACGGCTGGTGGGGAATCAGCTTCTGCCGGTCATTGCAGTTGTAGATCCAACGGGGACGCACGAAGGAAAGGTTGGGGTTCTCGTTCAGAGCCTGAAGCCAAAATTAGGAAGGAGACCATGAATAGTCTCAGCTCTACTCAAAGTAGTTGAACCCAGCCTATCTGTAGACAGAGGCAGCTGAAGCTGGCTAATATTGGCATTCACATTCATTATTTTTCTCCTCCTTCTAGGGCAGTGTTTCTCAACCTTGACAATTTTAAGGCATGTGGACTTCAACTCCCAGAATTCCACAGCTGTGGAATTCTGGGAGTTGAAGTCCACATGCCTTAAAATTGTCAAGGTTGAGAAACACTGTTCTAGGGAATCTCTTTTTGGAAACTTCATCCCGTGCACCAACTTAAGAGTTATTAGTACAGCAGTGTTTCTCCTCCTCGGAACTTTCAGATGGATGGACTTCAACTCCCAGAATTCCTCAGCCAGGGTTGAAGTCCACCCATCTTAAAGTTCCCATGGTTGAGAAACACTGTGGTACAGTGCAAAGGCATGACATTGTATGCCCCCTCCAATTTGTTCCATGAAAGAGGAGTCCTGCCAAATCTCCCCTATCACCATCTCGCCCTCTTTTCTCCTTTCAACAATTTCATTGATCCTTACCTGGCGCCAGTTTAGCATTGACTAGGTTTTGGGGTAAAGAGCAATAAATCTTCTGAATCGCAGGTTAACATATAGTCTTGATTTTTTTTTGCTCCTGACGTTAGCACAGTTCCTAGCCACCAAAAAGACTGGGTACTCTGCTCAATGTAAATTTGACAATTCCTCAAAAGTCTTCAGAATTATGACACACATGGTCCAATCAGTCTGATTAAATGGTTTAAAGACCTGCCCTTTGGGGCTAGTTCCCTGAAATTTGAAGAGGCCAGCTCACCTCGTCAAATGTGTCATCCCATTCTTGAGCCGTGATCACATAGTTTACACGCTCGTTCATGTAGTCCTCCACTTCCCTGCAAAAAGTCAAGAAGTATGCTTTTTAGAGAGAGTCCTCTTTTTCTCTTAGAGATAAGAAAGCCCAGGATTCGCATTTTTTGCAGCTATCAAGGATATAGATAGATAGATAGATAGATAGATAGATAGATAGATAAGATTAGATTAGATTAGATATAGATAGATTAGATATAGATACAGAGATAGATAGATAGATTAGATATAGATTAGATATAGATATAGATACAGAGATACAGAGATAGATAGATTAGATATAGATGGATAGATGGATGGATGGATGGATAGATAGATAGATATAGATAGATATAAATATATATGGCATCTTTTATACTTATAATGCAGCAACGCATTTAGGCAATGGGAGAGTCCTACAGCAATGACCTTGTAAAAACTCACCCATTAAAAGCTATGATGTAGCGATTCAGGAGACGTCGTTCTTGAGAAGGGAATTCACCATAAAGGAAGAAGCATTTGCCAACAAACAGATCTGGAAAGGAAAAGCAAAGTTCCTAGAGAAGTGGAATGAAGACAGGACAATCCAAACATGCCCATTAGTTCTCTCATCATCACAGCCAATTTGATCTAGTGGCTTAAGGCAGCTAGGCTAGAGATCAGGAGAAGGCGAGTTTTAGTCCTGCCTTAGGCATGAAAGCCAGCTGGGTGACTTTGGGCCAGTCACTCTCTCTCGGCACCTGACTTAAAAAAATGCACCGCTCAGCAATGGAAGTTACAGTCCCAACTGTGATCGTAAGTTGGGGGCTAGCTGTACTAGATACTGATTATTTAGCTAAAGAGTAATGGACTAAAACCCCACATATTGGAATTGAGATTAAGAAAAAAATAAGATAAAAGAAACGCCAAACTTTAGATCGGTTTGGACAAACCTGGAAGTTCTGGGATAGGCTGATCCGGCTCTGCCTGTTCCTCCACGTCTGTGTTCTCATCAGTGGAACCCGCGTAGGGGTCACTGTCTGGTTCTGGAACTAGCCTCCGTCCGCCTTGCTGCTTTTTGCGGTGTTCCTCTTCAACTCTAAGCCAGAGGAGACAAGGGATCAGCTTTTGGGAAAGGATCCGCCACAACCACAAAAGGCTTCCAGGCTTCCACCCAACAGAATCTAAGATGGCAAGTTCTGTCTCAGTTATTAAGTGATGCAGTCCACGCAGGAAGGGTCAACTGCAACAGCTATCACTTGACCAACCTCCTTAACTCGTCATCTGTGTCACCAGACCCTTCATCTCCGTTGTCTTGAAGACCTAGGAGACAACAGAAGGACAGAAAGGAAACATCAGCAATCCCTTCTATGTCGCCGTTGTTGGGTAAGCTGTTCTGATCATTGGTGGGAAGAAGATGGCCAATCAGAGAAGGCAGGGTCCTTGATTAGCCTCTTGTCAAGACTGCTAACATCGGATGTTCTTGCTTGCCGTATGAAGAAGCAAACACGTTTCATTTAGCCTGCATATCACTTCTAGAGTTAAAGCAGACAATACTAGCCTAGTGCAGTGGTTCTTAACCTTTTTGAACAAATCGTCCCCTTGAGCCAATGAGGAAGTTGTCATCGCCCCCCTCCCCCAACATCACCTCTCAGTCACAACATAGGAAATAATTCTTCCATTTATGCAAACACTTTTTTTTTTTGTTTTCTTTAAAATTGTTATCAGGACATATCGATGCAAATAGTTTATTTCCAGTCTTTTTTCCCATATCTCAACTGAGTGTGAAAAATTTTGGTGCCACCCGGCACTTTATTCCCAAACTTCGTGATACATGTATTTCATTATTATCTTATTTATTCAAGACACTTGAAATGTAATCACCACTGAAAACAAAATTCAACTGCAAGAAAGTGAAATGCCCGAAAAGAAAAACACAATTCAATCCACTAATAGCGAGCGATCTGATGTTTTTGTACGACAGATATACAGTGATTCACTGTACAAAAAAGGCTCAAAAGTGTCCCCAAAACTTCTCGCTCCCATATCGCCCCCTTTTCATTCCTTCGCCCCCACGTCGCCCCTTTTCGTTCCATTGCCCCCATGAAAAACAAAATCGCCCCCTGGGGGGCAATATCGCCCAGGTTAAGAACCACTGGCCTAGTGGATGGGAAAATATGCTAGTTAACCATAACAATATCTCAGCACAGCATTGCCAAGGTCAGCTGTAACAGGAGGCTTAGGGGAGGGACAATTCATGCTTCACACTAATTGGAGAATGTGATTGATGACTGTGACATGAAGGAGGGAGTTATGCTTTGTTACGGGTGATTGAGGGAGGGAGGATTCAGTTTTGGGCTTATTTTTGTTATGTGCCGAAGCTATGCAAAAATAAAAGGATTCTTTAAGGTAAATAAGCCTCAACGTTCTTTGAAAAGCTGCTTCTTTTCGGAACCATGACATCAAGCCAAAACCCACAAACTTTTAAATCCATTTAGGGGTCCCTTACCCCAGTCACTATCCCTAAACTAACGGGGATAGTTTGACAAAGATTTGGGGAAGATCTCGCCATGGAAGAAAAAGAAATGTCTGAAGCCATGACACCTCTCCAACAATCTCCACAAGGTGGGCAGAGAGGCCTCTGAACCTTGGTTTCAACCACCCCATGCCCCACTCACCACCACCACCAGATTCTAGGGAAGCAGTAATTTCCCTGCATCCCAAAATTAGGGTCCACTCTACCTGCAAATTTCTCATCCCCGCTGGAAGCCCTTGAATTGTTGTGGATGTTGCTGTTCTGAGAGGTGGTTGGCTCCTCTTCTTCCTCCTCGGAAGACACTCTGGGTGGCACCACCTGCATTACTTTGGGGCTGGTGGCAGGCTTAATCTTGTGGTTGGGGCTGGGCACGCTGGTTCTCTGGCACAGGAGGACAGGAGTCAGTTACAGAGGCACAGAGGAAGGCAAACTCACTGCAGCAAGGGTTTCTTTTTTGGGGGGGGGGGGAGGCTTAGGCAGGATTGAATGACAACATTTCTTTGTCATTTAAATCCAGCACACATTCCGCCTATTTTCCCTGGAATAGGCTGAGAGGAAGTGACTGGCCCAAAGTCTTTCATGTCTAAGGCAAGACTTGAACTCAGAGTCTCCTGGTGACTGGCCCAAAGTCACCCAGCAGTCTTTCATGGCTAAGGCAGGACTTGAACTCAAGAGTTTCCTGGTGACTGGCCCAAAGTCACCCAGCAGTCTTTCATGGCTAAGGTAGGACTTGAACTCACAGTCTCCTGGTGACTGGCTCAAAGTCACCCAGCAGTCTTTCATGTCTAAGGCAGGACTTGAACTCACAGTCTCCTGGTGACTGGCCCAAAGTCACCCAGCAGTCTTTCACGGCTAAGGCAGGACTTGAACTCACAGGTCCTTGCTTTCTAGGCTGGTGCCTTAACCACCAGACCAAACTGGCTGTCCTCTCAAAAATTCCTGGTATCTTCCCCACAAAGGCAAAACACTCTTAAAGGATTACAGTCTCATGACTTACACTAAATTTGCAAAATAACGGTCAAATTGGATAAGAAAAACCTATAACGGAACTCACTATATAGCACAGCAACGGAAACATCCCCCAAACCAGGGCTCTTCAAACTTGGCATGCCTGGCTGAGGAATTCTGGGAGTTGAAGTCCACAAGTCATAAAAGGGCCAAGTTCGAAGACCCCTGCCCAAAACAAACACATCTAGCCTACCTGTTGAGGAGTCACAACTCTGCGGTGTGCAGCTGTGGTCTCCTCCTCGCTCTCCTCTTCCTGTTCGCTGCTGGACGAATCGGGGCTGCCCATCAGGTACCTGGGAAAGGGAACCTGCGAGTTATAGTTTGAAATGAAGACTGAGTAGAATCTACCTAGGTTCCCGTTCCCCTGGACAACTCACTGTTTGCAGGGTAAGCACCGACGGCTACGGTAACAGTCCAGGATCCACTCCTTCCGTACAATGGTGCCCCCAAGCCCTTTCACCTGGCTGTATTTGGGGGTGTTGGCAAAGGCACAGCTAGAAGGAGAAACAGAGTCACTTAACACGGAGGAGTGCATTGCAATCTATAAGGCCCCAGGATGAAACCAGCCAGTTCGGTCTAGTGGCAAAGCAGCAGGCAAAAAAACCAGGAGACTGGGAGTTTTAGTCCTACTTTAGGCATGGAAGTTGGCTGGCTGACTTTGGGCCAATCAGCAAGAGACAATGAGTTCGAGCCCCAGGTGAGGCACGAAAGCACACTGGGTGACTTTGGGCAAATCACCAGGTGACTGAGACTTCTAGTCCTGCCTTAGGAATGAAAGCCGGCTGGGTTGGTTTGGGCAAGTCGCTCTTCCTCAGCACAAGACTTGTTGGAGTGACAATAGGAGGAGGAAGGTGTATTGTGTATGTGCGGCACATTGTGTCACAGATAGTCCTCGACTTACGACAATTGAGCCCAAAATTTCTATTGCTAAACAAGAGATTTGTTACCGTATATTCCGGCGTATAAGACGACTTTTGAGAGCAATGAAACAGCCTCCGAACTCAGGGGTCGTCTTATACGCCGAGTCGTCTTATACGCCGGAAATAAGGTAGTTTCTGGCGTATAAGACGACTTTCTAGGCATGCGACTCGGCGTCGATCATCTTATACGCCGGAAATAACGTAGTTTCCGGCGTATAAGACAATCGATGCCAAGTCGCATGCCTAGAAAGTCGTCTTATATGCGACTCAGCGTCGATCATCGTGGACTTGGCGTTGATCGTCTTGCGACCCGGCGTTGAACTCGGGGGTCATCTTATACGCCGGGTTGCCCTATACGCCGGAATATACGGTAAGTGAATTTTGCTCCATTTCTTTCTTGCCCCAGTTGTTAAGTGAATTTCCTACACTTGTTAAGTTACTAACATAGTTGTTCAGTGGATCTGGCTTCCTCACTGACTTCGCTTGTCCAAAGATGACAAAAGGGGATCACATGATCCCGGGACACTGCAACCGTCATGAATACATGCCTGTTGCCAAATGTCCGAAATTTGATCCCATGAGCATTGGGGTATTGCAACAGATGTTTAACATGGTCATAAGTCACTGTTTTTCAGTGCCGTTGCAACTTGGAACAGTCATGAATGAATAGCTGTAAGTCGGAGACTGACTATATTTATAAAAATCATAAAGGTGGGATATAATAAATAAAGAGAGCAGTAGCACTGGGGGAGATCTTGACCATTGGACAGCAATGCAAAAGGAAGGCTGTTTTTAAAGGCAGAAACTTGATGGGGACTTAAGTTCCAACAAACTCATCTAAGGCACATTTTGGGGCAACCGTGAATGGGTACTGCCCATTGAGTAACTGAAATCTTCCATCAGCTCTTAGTTCAAGGTCTTCCCTCACAAATTACACTAATTATTGTCAAAGCAACATCGTATTTGTGTAGGCGCTAACTGCCCAAAGGACACAACTTAGCATTTGCATCGTGAGTATCAGACACAAGAGTCATGTCATTTATGTTATGCCAGGGGTAGACAATCTTGGCTCTTTTATGACTCGTGGACTTCAACTCCCAGAATTCCTGAACCAGCCACACTGACTCAGGAATTCTGGGAGTTGAAGTCCACGAGTCATAAAAGAGCCAAGGTTGCCTACCCGTTTATGCTATATAACAGCTCTCGGCCCCAGAGACATCCAGGTCTGTTTGCTATGGCAGTTTTGAAATTGGAAATTGCCACAGGTCCTGCCCACAACTCTGGTCATTTTGGTAAAGCACAGCAGAGAAAATAATTTCTTCTTTGTAATGTTATTAGCAAAATCAAAATAGGATAACTCACCACGGCCAATTCTGCTGCAGAACAAGCCGTCATGGCCAACTCATCACAGGACAACTTTTTGCGGGACAATTTAACAATTCTATTTAATTACTTACAATAATTTTAAAATTATTTTGTTTTCATTCACATTTTCATTTTGTTCCTCTTTGGCATTCTTTAATGATTCTATTCCGCTATTTCTTTGATATTAGTGTAACTCTTGTCCCATAGCGAATTGGCTGCAGCAAATTGTGGCAGACCCTAGCAAAACTGGGGGTCTCTTTTAAGTTCTTCTTTTATCAAAACAAAGCTGAGGTCTTAGTCTCACTGAGTAGAGCAGGGGTAGGCAACCTTGGCTCTTTTATGACTCATGGACTTCAATTCCCAGAATTCTGGGAGTTGAAGTCCATGAGTCATAAAAGAACTGAGGTTGCCTACCCCTGGAGTAGAGCATTTGAGATTGCAATGGCTTAACTTTCAGGGAATGAAGGAAATAAAAATGCATGTTTTAGGAGGGTAGATCCACCGTCACGTACATGAGGTGAGTGCTGTCAGGGGTCCAGTCTGGACGGTACTTGGCCCCCATTTCCAAGGCCTTGTCCCTTAATTCAGAGCGAAAGGGGTTCTGGAAACCGCTCAGCACGAAGACGGTACCCTGTAGGAGTTGCTGGAAAGACCCGTTTGCCGTCTCCTCCAAAGACTGCGTTGGAAGAGCTTTTTTGAAAGGTAGCGTCTTCTGGGGAGGAGACGTGGAAAGAGAAACTGCAAATCAACAAAAACAAAATGCAAAGGTCAGGTAAGGAAAAGAGAGGCCCAAATCATTGCTCGTTCTTTGATGTAAATTAGTCAAGATCAGATGCAAACAGAAGAAATCCCCTTTCTACCCACAGTCTGTGGTTAAAATCCAACTTCAAGAAAGTAATGTACTAAAAATATTTACAAATTTCGATGCATTTTTTTGTCATTTTAATTTGTCCTCTTACTTCCTTTTCCTTTTTTGTTTGTGTTGTAATGTTTGAGCCTGGAATTTAATAAAGATAATTAAAAAAAAAAGAGAGAAAGCAATGTGCTGAAAACACAACTGCTTTCATTTCATTTTAATACTGTTCACCAGGCAGAGATGCTTTCTGAGATGGGCGGCCACACAAACTAGAATAACAGAACAACACAGTTAGAAGGGATCTTCTATCCAGGGCTTTTCAATCTTTTCACCCATTGTACCACTTTTAGGATATGGCAATATCTGAGTACCACCAGTCACCTAGTAAGGTGTCAAAAACTTGATGACACCCCCCCAAAAAAGGAAAAAAGTGATGAAGTACAGGTAGTCCTCGACTTACAATAGTTCGCTTAGTGACTGTTCGAAGTTACAATGGCACTGAAAAAAGTGCCCCCCCAAGCCACAGCCGAGCAAGACATCTGCCTGCCCACCCGGTGGCGCTCTTCCTCCTGTCTGAGGTTTCCATTGTTGTGAGCATTTCTGTTGAGGATTGGCAGTGGGGGGTGGGGTGGGTGGTGTTTGGTTTTTATTCCCTCCGTCTGCTGGGTGGTTGCAGCAGGTTTTGGTCACTTCACATGACCCTGGGACACCGTGACCATCATAAATATGAATCAGTTGCCAAGCATCTGAATGTAAATCATGAGACCCTGGAGAGGCTGCAACATTCCAGCTGATCGGCACTTCTTCGGGGCTCAGCAGAAGCCCCAGGATCAGCGCCGAGCTCCAGCTGGAGCCTGGCGCTGATCCTGGCACATCCACTGAGCCCTGACAGCCCCAAAGAAGCGCTGATCCTGGCACTTCCACTGAGCCCTGACAGCCCTGAAGCTCCAGCCATCTCTTGCTCAGGCTTGTGCAGTGCTGCCACCGGTTCAGCTCATTCCCCTCCCCCACTACCACTTTTCTAGGATGGTCACGTATCACCTGCCAGGTGCCAATGTACCATAGGTGGTACCCGTACTACTGGTTGAAAAGCCTTGTTCTAGTCCAGGGGTTCTCAACCTTGGCAACTTTAAGACTTGTGGACTTCAACTCCCAGAATTCCTCAGTCCACAAATCTTAAAGTTGCCAAGGTTGAGAACCCCTGTTCTAGTCCAACCCCCTGCTTGAGCAACAGATGAATCAAAAAAACATTATGAACTGCATGAAATTTCAACTTGCAAGTTTCCCCCTTTCTTCACATACCTTTGTGTTTTTTGGAAGGCGGGTGTGTAACGCGGGACTTATCGGGATTAGCTTTCTTGGTTGCTGAGGAGAGAGCAGCATTTTCTTTGCTGAACTCAAACTTCCTTTTGACTGGGGTGGGTTCCTGCAAAGACAAGAAAACTTTAAGGCTGCAACTCATCCTAAAACACTTGGAGAGAAGCCTCTCCCAACTTCATTGGATTTACTTCTAAGACAGATATTAGCTTAAGGATCCTTTAGATTGGCTGTAAATAATTCTAGGACCTATCCTGCTGCTCTGATCCATGAATGAACCTTGCTCATGTGCCTAGAGAGGCAACGTAGTAGATTGTGGAATGGAAGTACAGTAGTCCTTGCTTAACAACAGTAATTGGGAACAGAATTCCTGTTGCTAAGTGACAAGGTCCTAAAACACATCGTCCTATGACCATACAAACTTATGAGGGCAGTTCCAGCACTTCTAGTTGCCATCATTAAGCAACTCGTGCAACATCATAGGGTGACCATTTGCAACCTCCTCCAGCTTCTTCGTTGACTTTACATCGGGGGGGGGGGAGGGGGCTATGTGGAGAGAGTTTCCTCCTTTCAATTCCTGGGAGTCTACCTCAGCGAAGATCTCACCTGGAAAATTAACACAACCCAGGTGGCCAGAAAGGCCCAATAGAGACTCCACTTCCTTAGGGTCTTGCGAAAGAACAAAGTGGAACGACGACTGATGACCTTCTTTTACCGGTCCACCATAGAAAGCGCCCTCTCACATTGCATTATGTTGTGGTATGCTGGCTTGACAGCCACGGAAAGACATTGCAGAGGGTGGTGAGCACAGCACAAAACATCATGGGCTGTTCCCTGACACCACTAGACAACATCGCTAGGGCCCACTGCCTTAGAACAGTGTTTCCCAAACTTGACAATTTTAAGGCATGTGGACTTCAACTCCCAGAATTCCACAGCCAGCATTGCTGGCTGTGGAATTCTGGGAGTTGAAGTCCTCATGCCTTAAAATTGTCAAGTTTGGGAAACACTGCCTTAGAAGAGCGAGGAAAATCCTCAGGGACGACTCACACCCTGGTCAGCACCTCTTTACTCTCCTATCATCGGGCAGGAGATATAGAAGCATAGCCAGCCACAGCAACAGGCTGAAGAACAGTTTCTACCCGTGGGCTGTCAGACTCCTGAATGGGAAATAACTCCATATACGATAAGACTTGCGGGGCCGGCACGTTGTGCAATAAGTTCATGTGGTGTAATAAGATTGTGTGTTTGTTGTCACTGTGAGTTGTATGGGGGGGAGGGGACACGAGGGAGGCTTAGCCAATCTCATTGTACACATGTTGTACTTTGCCAATAAAGGTTGATTTGATTTGATTTGACTCAGCTTGTCACAAGCCAACGGTGAAAGTTGCAAATAGATATCACACGAGCACAGGATGCAGCCATGACGTAACTGCAAGCCAGTCACTGAATGGCTAGATCACAATGACATGAACGTGGTGTGTAGGTTTGTGTGTCGTTAACAGCTGCAACTATGATGCTCAGTCATATGTACCACTTGTTCTGTGCCACTGAAGCTTCAAACCGTCACTGAATGGTGGTGGTCATTAAATGAGAAATTTTTTTTTTGTTTTTCAGCTTGGATGGCAAATTAAGAGAAAAAAAAAAGTTGGAATGTGAGCATTTGCCCACTCAGACGTGGCTTCTGTTTTCTCTCCTTTACCTTGGGTGGGGTTTTGATGGTGGGCTTTTCCACTGCTGATGGTGAAGAGTCAGGAGAAAGAGATTTGTTGGTCTGCAATGAGGCAGCGGCGTAACTGGGTGAAGGCTGGTCATTCTGAGATGCTGCAAGAATAATAATTATCACCATCATCAGTTACCAGTCTCAGCGTGGATATCTACACACACAGAAAACACTTCAAACATTAAATGTAATGATGCTAAGAAAAAGACTCAGGCATGTCTTGGGCAGAGGTTTGAAGCTGCATGACACATCTTCACACAGCTCGACAAACTCTGAGTTTATTGTTTCTTATATACTTTTTACATACATAGGCTTTACCATTAACTGCTGACATTTTACATTTAGAAGTTTAATCTTTAGCTGTTGACATAAAGTAATTGAAAAATTCCTTCATATAATCAATTATTTTCTAGTAACACATTACCTGTTGAGAGCAGGTAAAAACAAATACAGGTAAATTAGAAAAGGAGAAAGAACTGATAAAGACAAGAAGAGATAAAGAAAGGAAGAGATAAGGGGGAACTTATTATTTAGGAAGGTAAGATATTAAGTCAAAAGGGGGTGATCTTTTGGCTGCTTCCTTGGGACAAAGTGTATCAAAAGGTTATGAGGTTTGTGGGGGGCAATGCATGGCAGTTTGCTGCACGTGCAAATTCCTCCACAATTAAAGAGCAGATAAAGCATTAAAACTGACACTTTCAGCCAAAACAATTTTTATTTCAAGAATGGCCAAGGAAGAAGGTAACAGATCTCACTTTATCAGATCTCATTTGATAATAGCAATTCTGCAAAGGCAGAATCTCACATATTATCAGCTTCTAAGGAGCAACAGAGAAAGACTATTGCCTCTTCTTGCCTGGATGATTAATAGTAACTATGATCTTCCAACAATCTTTAGGTAGGATAAAATGTGTGATAATTACCTTTAGGAGGGGAGACCAGGGGTTTACTGGCACGGCTGAAGAAGAGAGCACCGGGTTTCAAAGAGCTGGAATTGCTGTCATCTTCCTTCACCATAAACTGGCCCAATTTGGTGACTTTCTGATGCAGGTGGAACAAAAAGAGAATGAGATATCCAGATTTTTGGGCAAAGAAGAGTGGTAAAATACAAGCTCATAGTTATCGGGTAACTTAAGGAATGCTCACCGGTGAAGCCATTTTGGAATGTGTCTCAGTGCTGTCTGGAGGAGAATGGAACCTCACGAAGGAAAGGCCATAAGCCAGAGACTGAAGAGAGATGCAAGAGGATTCAGATTTAGGCAAATTAGGCAGCCATAAGCAATTGTCATTCCATGCGTGAAACTGTCTTCTCTAATTACAGACCACATTCCGTCCAAAGCTAGGACAGAAACCAGCTCTATAACAGAAGGTAGATAAATTTAGGAGTGGCTAATAAATGTTAGGGAAAAAAAAAGACTAGCATTACTATAGCCTTCTTGGGGCACTGCCCTACTATGGGGATTTCAACTTCTACAATTCCCAACTCCAAAGAAACCTGGAAGGTTCCCTGGTAGGTTTAATAAATCAACAGGAAGGCTGACCTATTGAGAGCTTGCAATTTCCTCTTCATAGCATCCCTTAGGGACAGTCTTGCTTAACATAAATGGCTAATAACTGTTACCTTTTTTTTTTGGTCCTAGAGTTTAAGTCAGTGGTTCTCAACCTGTGGGTCGGGACCCCATTTGGGGTCGAACGACCATTTCACGGGGGTCGCCAAACAACGCAGTCCACCATTTTTCCCTTTTCCTTAGCGGTGCTACTCCCTTTTATTCTATTGGCTTTTGAAAGCCAATAGAATAGACTCTCTTGAATAGAGTCTAATTCTATTGGCTTTCAAAAGCCAATAGGAATTGTCCAGGCTGTCTCTGCCCTGCTGAGCCCGCCAAAAGTCCCATTCTGCAAACGGTGCTGCACCAGTTGAGTAGTCCTCAACTTACGACCGGTTGAGTAGTCCTCGACTTATGACCAGTTGGGGGGTCGCGGCATTATAAAGGTTGAGAACCACTGGTTTAAGTGCTCTTTTGAGAGAAGTTAGCCCACGAGTAAAATTGCAATTCAATGTTTATATACTTGGGAATCAGTCTCACTGAAGTCAGAAGGCTTTTTTTCTCAGTAAACGTTCACAAGGTAAGGCTATATAAAAAAAAGGATCAACTAGATTTTAACTCTTTTAACCATCTACAGACCTTCATCTAGAAAAGGCAAAAGTGTGAACTTCTGAAGATGAACTTCACCTCCCCTCCAGAAAGGCTGAATACCCAAAAATTTGGGGTTCCATCTTTAAGAAATTAATTATTCACTTCTGTTTGCCAGATGAGCATCAAAACTGCGTGAGATCTACTTTTCTCATATAGGAAATGATGACCATCTCACCCTTAAAATGCAGTTATAAGAGGCGTGGAACCCAATTGACAGATATCAAACACAAGAATTGCTAAAGCAGGGGTCTTCAAACTCGGCCCTTTTATGACTCATGGACTTCAACTCCCAGAATTCCTCAGCCAAGCACGCGTGCCTGGCTGAGGAATTCTGGGATTTGAAGTCCATGAGTCATAAAAGGGCTGGTTTGAAGACCCCCTGTGCTAAAGAGTACGCTAAGAAGTACCCGCTCCTTGTCAAGCTCCTGAGGGAGAAATAAATGCAGCAGTCCAAGGCATCCCATATAATTTGGTTTCCAAAATATAAACCTTGGTGTACGGCTGGGTACAAACAATCTTAACTCGGTCCCACTTCTTCTCAGCTGTAGCCTTCACCAGTTTATCTGACCCAAACATACGGACTCTGTTCAAGTTGGTGCTAGTCTTGCTCTCTGAGGGAGACATGAAGGAGGATGTCACCAACAGCACCTGAGGTAGAATGGAAAGCGCTACAATGGAAATCAAGAAACGCATCTTTTTGAAAATCTCTCTCTTACTAAACCCCAGTCTTAATCCAAAAGAGTCCTCCCCAGACACCCTGAGAACAAGCAACAGAACATCAAATCAGAAGTTCGGCTCTTGAGAGAAACTGCCACACACAGGAAAAAAAAATCACAACACGGAGATTAAGCATAGGGAGAAAGCAGGGTCCCTCTAGTGCAGGGGTAGGCAACCTTGGCTCTTTTATGACTCGTGGACTTCAACTCCCAGAATTCCTGAGCCAGCATGGCAACCTCTCCCTTTCCCCTCAGCATGGCTGGCTCAGGAATTCTGGGAGTTGAAGTCCACCAGTCATAAAAGAGCCAAGGTTGCCTACCCCTGCTCTAGTGTTTTGCCCAAACTGCTAAGCAGTCATCCTGCATGGAGCCACACACACCTGTATTCAAAGGATGTTTGGTTTACATTGCTGGAATCCTACTATTTCTGACTGTACGTATTCAAATGGAACAAAGGAAATAGCACCAAATCCCCTTCATTGAAGGCAGAAAGAATACCACTTCCATGGTGTGAGGGCAACTCAGGCAGTACTGAATCCACTCACCTCGTAATTCTGCTCACTGGTGGAGGCAGAGCTGCCAGCCAGCACTTCCACAAAGGCAGAGCCTTCATTGCCAATATCAATGCTGTGAATCTGCTCCTCTTTTTCAAACTGTGGGAGGGGAGGGGAGAGTACAGTAAGGAATTGTGGAAAATACAGGAAAGGAATCCTATAGGTCCAGGTCTTAACAACTGGATATTGATTTAACCAAATATACCCCAACCATGTATATGAGCCATGCTAACAGCAAATAAAACGACCCTATACTAAATCAGGAACAAGCTCATGATTATCCAATTTGACTGACAGCAATTTATTTAAGACAGCCAAGTTTTCCTTTTGCAGCTGCTGCTTTTTCTGACATCTTAACCGTAGCTAATTTTGAGGAGACTGGTGGAGGGCTGAGCATACAGTATTGTTCTGCAGAAGAATGATGAACTGCAATAATAAGAGAATTACGAAGAAATTCCAAATACCACCTGAAAAGCATTTGTGTTATACATACATACATACATATAGAAAAAAAGAGAGAGGGAGAAAGAAAGTAAAAGCATTGGGCTTGAAGAACTATAATTTATATGCACACACGTTTCTAACTGCATAAATGTGCTTACAGCAAGTTGTCATACTGCAAGTATTATAACTGCAGACAGTGTTTGGGACTGATTTCACACAGGGATTAGCAGAAACTCACTTGTAATATGACAGAGATTTGCTTTTCCCCAGCCTGGGCAGCTTTCCACTTGCGATAGGTGTCAGCCTTGAGCAGGTTCTCAGCACAATGAGTCTGGGGACAGGAGAAGAGGCTAAATCAATGGCAAGAAAACAATCCTACTATCCATACATCAGCTTCTTCATCCCTTCTTTACTCCTTCTTACTCTTCTTTCCTTTCCTCCTCCTCCCCAATAGTCTTAGACATGAATGGGTTTACACAGCACACTTCAACTTTATATCCATCAAAAAGTATCTGTTGCTCTCTTCTGGCATTTCTCAACATCAACAGCTTTAAGATGCATAGATTTTAATTCCCAGAATTCCTCAGCTAACTTCAGGGAACCAAAGTCCACACATCTGAAAAGTTGTTGAGGTTGAGAAACCCAGCTGAGCTCTATTCTGGGTTACAGTAATGCAATGGCCTACTTCATGTAACGGGCTAAAACATATTAAGACCAGTTGCTGGAATTGGGTATGTCTAGTTTAATGAAGAGAAGGATGAGGGGGGACATGATAGCAGTGTTCCAATATCTCAGGGGCTGCCACAAAGAAGAGGGAGTCGAGCTATTCTCCAAAGCACCTGAAGGCAGGACAAGAAGCAATGGATGGAAACTCATCAAGGAGAGAAGCAACCTAGAACTAAGAAGAAATTTCCTGACAGTTAGAACAATTAATCAGTGGAACAACCTGCCTCCAGAACTTGTGGGTACTCCAACACTGGAAGTTTTTAAGTAGAGACTGGACAACCATTTGTCTGAAATGATATAAGGTTTCCTGCCTGAGCAGGACTAGAACAGGGGTGTCAAACTGCTGGCCCGCGGACCGGTTTCATCATACCGGAGCTGCACCCACCCCATTGCCAGCAATGGCGAAAAAGCTCTGAGACGTCGTGTGACATCATGTGACATTGCGAGTTTGACATACCTGGACTAGAAGACTTACAAGGTCCTTTCCAACTTCTTTCTTTCTTTTTCTTTTTCTTCTTATTCAAAACAGAACATCCCAAACCCAGTTTAGTCAGACATGTTATGTTAGCCAAGCCCCTCTCTCGCAGACATCCCTTTTTTTCCTTATGACACCTTCGTTTTTCTTCTTCTTCCCCTTCTCCGTCTGTTTTGGGTTAGCTCCACCCAACATGCCAAGCCCTAAAACCAGTTGAGGGGGATGACAATGATTGGTTCCTATTACATCCCAGATGTTCAAGGTCTCTGGAGACTCTCAGTCCTCCATGGTCAGGGTTGTCCCAAAGATGCTTTTCCAAAAGACAACTGGGACTTCGTTTTCCCTTGAAGACCTTTCGCTTCTCATCCAAGAAGCCGAAGAATTAAAGTCCAGTTGCCTCGTGAGAAAAAAAAAAAGGCACCTTTGGGATCCCAGATGCTGAAACCAATCATCCAGGTTACGGCTTAAGGCAGGGGTAGGCAACCTGGGCTCTTTTATGACTCGTGGACTTCAACTCCTACAATTGCTGGCTCAGGAATTCTGGGAGTTGAAGTCCACGAGTCATAAAAGAGACAAGGTTGCCTACCCCTGGACTATGTTGTCTAGCATTTCCAAAGAACCTTGCTGCTTGGAATTCTGGGAGTTGTAGTTCTATTACTTTAGGGAGGAAATAAGAACAGAATACTAAAAGGTGAGGCAGGCTCTAGGAATGTTAGTAACATGCTACTGTGGTTGCAGGCATTAGAAGCGCGTGCCACCCCTGGCCACACGGACGGCTGCCTGACCTATGTGCTGAATGATAAGACTATGGCTCAGGAATTCAGGGAGTTGAAGTCCATGAGTCATAAAAGAGCCCAGGTTGCCTTGTTGTTGTTAGTTGCGAAGTCGTGTCCGACCCATCGCGACCCCCATGGACAACGTTCCTCCAGGCCTTCCTGTCCTCTACCATCTTCTGGAGTCCATTTACTGCTGCTTCAGTGACTCCATCCAGCCACCTCCTTCTCTGTCGTCCCCTTCTTCTATTGCCCTCCATCTTTCCCAGCATCAGGCTCTTCTCCAGTGAGTCCTTCCTTCTCATTAGGTGGCCAAAGTACTTGAGTTTCAGCTTCAGGATCTTGCCTTCCTTCTAAAGAGCAGTCGGGGTTGATCTCCTCTAGGACTGACCGGTTAGATCGCCTTGCAGTCCAGGGGACTCGCAGGAGTCTTCTCCAGCACCATAGTTCAAAGGCTTTCATTCTTTTGCGCTCAGCCTTTCTTATGGTCGGTTTCCCATCCAGCCTGGCGACCACTGCTGGCTTCCCCAACACGCTGGAGCCCAAAGTAGCCATTCTAGCTTTGTCTGGCCTAGGTATCGTGGGAAGGCAACTGCGGCTTCGTCGAGTGGAGGCTGTATTGTCCGTACGGTTTCTCCCACCCACCCCAGAAGCCTCCACGGTGTACCACCCCCATATCCGACTTCCCCCCCGCCTCAGAATGGCTGCCTCCGTACCCCAACTTAACAGCCCCATCACCCCGCTGCCTTGTTCCCCACGCGGACGCCCCCGACACCCCCCCCCGAGCTACCGTGTCGGAGCTGCTCGCGGATACCACATGTCGGATCTCGATCTCCGGCATTGCCCCGCCACTTTCTGTCACCCGCCGTCACCCGGCAGCAAAACTCCGCCAAGCGCCGGAAATGGGCGCTCTACGCTCAGCGGCGTTCATCTCTATGGTTCCTCTAGTGGCCTCCACTCCGCGCGCAAACTCAAACCGATGACGTCTTCTAAAGCGCCGCGCAGTCAGACCGAGCGTGGGGGGGGGGGAAGAAATGAAGCTCTTGGCGCATGCTCGGATTCGCGCCTTTCCGATCACGATGCTTTGGCGCTCGAAGCGCGGCCTTTTGCTTCTGCGCATGCGATTTTTTTTCCCCCTGCCTTTTTGAGGGAGTTAGTTTTTCGAACTTGGACGCTTTGAGTCCTGTGGACTTCGACTCCCCAAATTCCTCAGCGAGCATGGTCTTATTGAGGAATTCTGGGAATTTGGAGGCCACAAAAGTGACTAAGTTTGAAAAACATTGGGAGGGATTTCTACCATTAGTTGGCGAGATAAACCTCTAGTATGGAGGAAGTAAAATAGCCTAGCTAGCCTTATCTCTAAAAAGGCAAATAAGTAACATTTCTTAAAGAAAAAAAAAAAAGAATGAGTATCAACAAAAGTAGCAATGCATTATTTCCATGAGTCAGGTTGTTAATCTAGTACTGACATGTTTGTTATTCAATAATAATAAAAAAATCTCTTTGAAAAAATAATTTCATAGGGCAATGTTTCCCAACCTCGCCAGCTTTAAGATGGATGGATGTCAACTTTCATACTCACCCAGCCAACAACAAAAGTTAAGAGACACTGCAACAGGGACAGAAAATCAATATATATGCTTCACCAGCCTGATTCTGGCAATGTTGGAATAAAAAGTGTGTTGGTTGTTACAGAAGTAGGACCCCAACTTATCTGAAGGTTGCTTGATTGGAAAAGATGATGGACACCATAGTTTTACATCAGCTGGTGTCAGTATTTCAAAACCTGACACACACACACACACACACAGCCCATTCCAAATAGCCAGACAAGATAGATTTAGTTATAGTTATGGGGCAGGGCCCCCTAAAAGAATCCAAATCATAGCTTGGAAGTTCTAAATTTTGCATTCTTGATGTAGCCAAGAGTTCCTTTAAAATTGTTTACAGTGTAACAATCCATAATGTGGTTTGTTTCATTTGGGTGTAGCATATCGGGTGAACCAATTGTCCATCAGTAAACCATAATTTATAACTTAAGACAGATGCTGTAATCTCAACATGTCCCGCTGTAGGATTCATAATGTTTCTTAATTTTAGTTAATGTTAATATCTTTGTGGCTTCACGACCTTTCGTTAATGCTCAAGTCTGAGAAGAGCATCCTATTTAATTGCTTGGTGTGACTATTAATATTGTTTCCTCCACAAAACTGGTCCGGAAACACACATCTTGTTTCAGAAGTCAGTGTTATGTCTCTTCAGTTTCAGACTCTCTTGGAATTTCTTTAGCTACCATGTTTAAGAACTGGGTTTGTTTGAATCCCTATGTTAGCTGTTGAGCCATTTCAGGTTTGGTTAACAGCACAGTAAAGTTTAATATACCCAGAAATTCTTTGTAGACTGGACCTCCTCACCCTTCATTATGAAGAGTGAAAAAGTGACGTTCCAACTGCCTTAAGGGCAGTTACAGAAGCAATTGTGCTGTGATTATACTGGCCATTTCCAACTGGGAATAACTATAGCCACTAGAATTGTCCAGTCATCAGGATGTAAAATAGTGGCCAAGATCTTTGAAACCAAAAGCCTTCAAGGCAGGCTCTCAGCACCTGGAATTGCTGCTAAGATGCCTGCTTGCCCCCAGATTCACAATGAACCTCCACCCCCTTACACATACACACAAACACACAGTGTGTTACTCTTGGAAATAAAGGCAATCTGAAGAGGTTGTTCTGAATAATTGCAATCTTGGCATCTCCAGATGGCTGTTCCTCCATGCCAAGCTGCAGTGAAAGTTTAGATGACTGGGACTCGGTCCCACTGCAAATGGGGTCATTTGTTCTGGACAAAATGTGAAGTGGCCATTAGATTTTAGATAAGGAAGCATTCCTCTTTTCTCTGGCTTTCTTTTTATATTCTGTGAAATGAAATGCAACACCTTGCCTCCCTCCCTTGCCAAACACAAGAGACACTTCAGAAAATGAAGTTGGTTATGGTCTTTTTGGCGAGGGGAATACAGCCACCTGGCGCACATAGGGGCCCCCTGAGTCCATCAGCAGACAAGGAAATCAGGAGTAGAAAAAGTAGATAGGATGTGTTTTAAGTGCCTCTCAAGCCATTCTTGTTTGCTCACTCCCTCACCCTTATGTAATTGGTCCAGTATATATTCCCCCGCACAGGATGCTTCCGTTTCAGATTCTACCGATCTGCAGATTACGGGACTCACCAACATGGCCTCTTTGTCCAGCCTCAGTGTCCTTCTGGCCACACTCCTAACTCAAGGTAAGTTTGCTTTGACGCAGTTATGGACACTGCAGTCTTTCTGCTTTACAGCTAGAGTAAAGGCAAGGTGGATGCGTCCAGTCTCAGAGATGTGCTTGTACGCTTGAATGTTTTTACCTTGCTCTAGAGGCCACGGGTTAGAAGAGGGGGGAGTCAACCTATTTTCCAAAGCACCCAAAGGGAAAACAAGACACAATGGATAGAAACTAACCAAGGAGAGAAGCAATCTAGAACTAAGAAGAAATTTCCTGACAGTGAGAACAATTAACCAGTGGAACGACTTGCCTCCAGAAGTTGTAGGTGCTAGATCACTGGAGGTTTTTAAGAAGAGACTGGACAGTCACTTCTCTGGAATGGTATAGGGCAAGGGTCTTCAAACTTGGCTGTTTTATGATTCATGGATTTCAACTCCCAGAATTCCTCGTGGCTGGCTGAGGAATTCTGGGAGTTGAAGTCCATGAGTCATAAAAGGGCCGAGTTTGAAGACCCCTGGTATAGGGTCTCCTGCTGGTGAAGGCTACAGCTGAGAAGAAGGCTATAGCTGGTGAAGGCTACAGCTGAGAAGAAGTGGGAACGAGTTAAGATTGTTTGTACCCAGCTGTACACCAAGGTTTATATTTTGGAAACAAAATTATATGGGATGCCTTGGACTGCTGCATTTATTTCTCCCTCAGGAGCTTGATAAGGAGCTGGTGCTTCTTAGCGTACTCTTTAGCACAGGGGGTCTTCAAACCCGGCCCTTTTATGACTCATGGACTTCAAATCCCAGAATTCCTTGAGCAAGGAACTGGAGTAGAAGACCTCCAAGGTCTCTTCCAACTTTATTACTCTGTTATTCTGAGTATGGACTCGAGATGGGCTACCAAAAACAGATAACCTCATTTGATGAAAGACAAGGAACTCTAGATCAGTGGTTCTCAACCTTTCTAATGCCGCGACCCCATAATACAGTTCCCCATGTTGTGGTGACCCCCCAACCACTTATACATCACCGGGTGCCAGGGGCGTGGCCAAAGAAAAGGGGGGGGAAATGGCGGACAGCCGTGAAATGGTCGTTCGACCCCAAATGGGATCCCGACCCACAGGTTGAGAACCGCTGCTCTAGATGGATTTCCTACATCTTCTCATTCTGATGAAACACCGAGCTACAGTTTCTCCACATGTGTGTTTCTTAAAGTATGGTCCGATGATCCCTGAGGTGCCCTCAAACCCATCTCAGGGGTCTCCAAAATCAAAATGATTTACCAGATAGGAAAGATATTTGCAAAAATTTAAAACAACGTCACTCTTTGTTGTTGTTGTTTAAAAAATATAGGGTTTTTTTCCTGAAAAAACATTTACTTAAAATTTCATGGGTTTTATAGTGGTGCTTTTTTTTATTGTGAATAAATAGTTACATTTATTTAGAGAAATAAAATATATTTTATTTAGAGAACTATGTTAGATTTGGTAAATTACTACACTGCTGATTGCTCAAATAGATAACATATTTTCTAAAAAAAAATTGGAAATGCAATAAGGCGAGATCATCCCTTCATATCTGGTGATGATGTTGTAAAATTCAGCAGTTCTGGAAGATGATTTATTATAGAATGAAAAAAATTAAATACAGACACCCCTTTTATTCCTACAAAGTATACAAAGTTGGCTTTGTATATGGTAATAGCTGCCAAGACATTTTATGTCCTTTATTGGACATCACATATAATTCCCTCTTTAGAAGAATGGCAAATTAAGCTGTGGGATGATGCATCAATGTCAAAAAATAATCTCATCTTTCAATAACAAGTCTGATTCAAAATTAAATTCAACTTGGAAATTATTTATGGATTAGAATTCCTTTCTATCATAGCTGGCTTAGGTTTATAGTGGTGCTTTTATACGATTCCATAAATAAATATTCTTTAAAAAAAGCACCACTTTTCATATGGTAAATATCAATAAAGATAACCCATGCAAACAAAAGTTCTTTGAGGGTGCTTCATAATTTTTAAAACTGGGAAGGGGTCCTAAGAACAAAAGGTTTAAGAAACACTACTCTGCACCATGAGACATATTCAACTGAAACACAGTTTCTCCATCATAGCTTATTGAATAAGCCACATCTCATCTGTGTTGTTTTTTTTTTCCAGGTTCCTGTTTGATCTGTGAGACCTGTCAAGGTCCAGGTAAAGACTGCACTGGCTTGAGCCACACTTGCGGAGCGTCTGAAGACACCTGTCTTACCTTCATCGGAGTAAATTCCTTGTGTGAGTAAAAGACAGACGAGATTTCAGGACTTGCTTTGAACCAGCAGAGGGAGTTAAGGGACTTTAGTTCCCAGGAGAGTGCCTAGAACAAGCGAATTACCAAACTTTTTTCAACGGGGCGACCTTATCCTTAAAACATTGGAGCAGGTCTTCCCAATATGTTGATTTATTGATACATGTCTACTTATTCATATAGTATGAACCTTAGAGAACATTGTAAACTTTTTAAACTTTATAAAACATACTGCCCTCCCTTTGGACTATCATATCTTTGAAGGCCAAATTGGCCCCAACGATGTTGACTTCCAACAGAACCTGGTTCTGTTACCAAGGTTGGTGTGTGTGTGTGTGTGTGTGTGTGTGTGTTTATGTATGGGTCAGGAGATGGGGTTGACCTCTGCATTGGCCATGTTAGTTGTTCGGGATGGATCTGACTTTTTGTGCTCTTTTGTGGGTGTTATTTATTTTGCAGGCTGGGGCCTTTCTGTTTGCTATATTTTTAAACATTGTTAGCCACTCAGAGTTATTAACTTCAGATGGATAGACCTGCTGGTCTATGACCGAATAAAGATGGATTGATTGATTGACTGACTGAGATGATACATGTCAGTCAAATATGTAAACATTCTCCAAAACAGATTTTTTAAAAAGATGAAATATATAAGTGTGAATAGATATTCTAGTGATTTCTTCTTGCACCCCAATGGATAGATTTGTGCATCCCCTTGTGTTTCATGAAATTTGTGATGATCGATAGAGGAAGTATTATAGTGGCATACAATATCTGCATTACGGGAGTGAGGTGGGATAGAAATCAATATATACATATGTAAGGAGTGTATTTATATGCCTAAATATTCAAATTAGGCATATTATTATATTATTCTACATCACCCATATATCTTCCTTCAAAATAGATTATAGCAAGACTTCATTTTCGAATACCTAGAACCCCGTTATTCTGAATCTAGAAAAAGGAGAAAAGTCTTTCCAGTTTCAGAATATGATCTGCAGGACAAGAAGCAACGGGTGGAAACTAAGCAAGGAGAGAAGCAACCTAGAACTAAGGAGAAACTTCCTGACAGTGAGAACAATTAATCAGTGGAACAACCTGCCTCCAGAAATAGTGAATGCTCCAACACTGGAGGTTTTTAAGAAGAGATTGGACAGCCATTTGTCCGAAATGATGTAGGGTTTCCTGCCTGAGCAAGGGGTTGGACTAGATGACCTCCAAGGTCCCTTCCAACTTTATTACTATTACTATTACTTTCAGTTGTTTTATCAAACAGATTTTCAACCAGGTGTATCTAATTTAACCAAATGTCTGATGTCTGCATCTTCTTCACCAGGGTCTGACAAAATCACCGAGACCATCAAAGTCTGCTCTGATTGTAGCAGCTGCCAGCCTGGCTCTATCAGTGTCACCATCAACTCTGAGATCCATTTCTGGAGCACCACCAGCTGTTGCCAAGAAGACTCGTGCAACCACAAAGAGTTAGATTGTAAGGAACCATTTGTTTCCCCCCCAAATCAAAGTTCATGAAGTTGATACCCCTACTCCCCCAAATTTTCACTGGGGTTGCTTACTTCCACGTATTCCTTTCTACCTAATTTGGCACATCCAGTTTGAGCGGCCAGCAGGTCCAACGCTGCTCAAAATGGATGTACTTTTAAAAATTAATTTTATATGGTTTATAAATCCTTTCAGTCAAAGCTGACTCTGACTGGCATACTTGTCTTTGTAAATACCAGATTAAAATAGGCCATAGGCATAAGAAATAAAATCATTTCCTGCTAGCAGTGTACAGAAAAAGTATGAAGGAAACTAGGAATGCAACATTCTATAGGCCAAAATTCAAACTTCCTTCCTCCACATTCCTAACTTTCCAGCCTTAGTTTTCTTAAAATTAAGAGGGAAGATCCCATTTGGATATCCAGGGGGGGGACGTCCCATTTTCAAACTGAATATCAGCTTCACTGATGAACAGCAAGGTGATAAGAAACACACGGAGAAGCATTTCGAGGCATTTCAAAAGACCTCCCTCTTGATGAATTCACTAGAAAGGAGGCTGAGAAATTCCACTTGCAGTTTCCAAGATTCTGTATTTTCTCTAGAGTAGCATTCGGGATGTTTTGTGAAGAAGTATGGAAGAACTGTGCAGTTCACAAAAGCTTCTGCCTTTTAACAAAAGATATGAGCTCTTTTGCTACCCTAGATTAATTCACCTCTCCTCCAACACTGGCAACTGAAATCTGTGTTGTTCTATTTCCTTGATCTTACCTAGCTGAGGGGCTCATACCTGCTACTCAACCTTGACAACCTGAAGATGTGCGGACTTCAGATCCCAGAATTCATAGGCATGATGGCTGGGGAATTCTGAGAGTTGAAATCCACACATTTTCAAGCTGCCAAAGTTGAGAAACACGGTTATCACCTCTTTCTGGTGTTCCTTCTACTTCTCCTTGCACTACCACCCTCCAGAGAGTCTAAGTTCCATTACCTCTTTGGAAGATTTTCCAATAGATTCTTCTTGTATGAAAAGCAAATAAGGAGAAATACCTTTTCTTATCTACTTCCCCAGTTCCATTAGGTTCCTGGCGGCTCCCTAGATCAGAGGTCCTCAACCTTGGCAACTTGAAAGCCTTGTGGACCTCAGCTCCCAGAATTCCTCAGCCAGCTTTGCTGAGTTGAAGTCCACAAGCCTTAAAGTTGCCAAGGTTGAGGACCCCTGCAGATGGTTATGTTAAGGCTTCTTAGCTAGTTTTCTCCTGCCTCTTCTCATTTTTTCCGATCAAAGGTTGTTGGAACATCTAGGACACCACTTTTCATAGCTGTTTGGCTACAGGTGATTAAAACACTGCAGTCTTCAATGGAATAACGATCTCAGCTCCTTTTTGTGACAAAGAGAGATTGCCTTGCCTGCTTCCCACAAACAATAAAAGTGTACCGTAAATGCCGGTGTATAAGACGACTTCCGTGAGCGCTGAAATCGGCGCCAAAGACGGGGGTCGTCTTATACGCCGAGTCGTCTTATACGCCGGAAATACTGGTAGTTTCTGGCGTATAAGACAACGTTCTAGGAATGCGGCCCGGCTATAAAGACGGGGGTCATCTTATACGCCGGGTCGCCTAATACGCCGGCATATACGGTAATTGACAGCGTACCATCAGCTGAAATGGAAATAATCCACTATTGTTTTCGAACCAGTCTGGAGTAAAACTGTGTCCCCCATTGTAATTGACAAATCTGATTAGAAGTAGTGACTCGTTCAGAATTCCAGTAGAACAGTGGGCTTTCCTTGCAATTCTATGAGACTTGTGTCCTGCAGCACAGGAGCCCCCAATCTTTTGGGCACCAGGGACCGGTTCCATGGAGAGAGGTTTTTCCATGGACTGGAGGGTGTGTGGTTTCGGGTGCTGCCTGCATCTCGCAGATGAGGCTTTGGTTGTTTGTGCAGCCCAGTTGCTGGCATGCCACGACCTAGTACTGGTCCACAGCCCGGGGGTTGGAGACCCCTGCTGAAGCAGGTCTGATCATAAATATGCCCAGCGCAGTAAATTCATGTCTGCGAATACTTTGATTTATATATTATGGCATATAAGTGAGGGCTGCTGAACTAAGGCTTCTGTATGGCATCATCTTTGTAGTACCTGCTGAGAATACCACCCTCAATGGCCTGACCTGCCCAGCTTGCTTTAACCTTGGCTTTGATCATTGCGAAGAGATCGACTCTCTGAACTGCGTAGGACAAGACAATCATTGTATAACCGCCTCTGGAACCTTGACTGCTAGTAAGTTTCATTTGCCTAATAGAGCTCATTTATGCAAACACCCAGATGGCATCCAGGATTAAACCAGTGGAACTCAGCCTGGAGACAGCCTGGACAATTTCTATTGGCTTTTGAAAGCCAATAGAATTAGACTCTATTCAAGAGAGTCTATTCTATTGGCTTTCAAAAGCCAATAGAATAAAAGGGAGTAGCACAGCTAAGGAAAAGGGGGAAAAATGGCGGACTGCGTTGTTTGGCGACCCCCGTGAAATGGTCGTTCGACCCCAAATGGGGTCCTGACCCACAGGTTGAGAACCACTGGCCTAGAGATATTTGCTAAATTTTATCATGCTATTTTTAGAATTGTAAAACTTTTAATTTTAAATTATTCTGATGTTAATGTTTTACTGGTGATATTTGTACACCATCCAGAGTCCGTCTCTCAGGGAGAACGGACAGTTAAGAAATATGAAATATAAATAAATAAATGACATGAACATGCTGAGGCAAGCCGATCCCGGCTCGGGCTGCTGCGTTCTGGACCCGTTGAAGGCTTCGCAGTAGTCTTCAAGAGCAGCCCCATGTAGAACACATTGCAGTAGTCAAGTCCGGTGCTCCAGATGGAGCTGTGCAAATAGGTGATGATTCTTCCAAGCGGAAATCTTTATTGTTTCACCCCTATGGGGAAAATTTTGTCAGACTGAGGACTTTGCACCTACAATATACTCTGGGAACTATGAGGGAGGGACTGTCTTCAACCTCTTTCTCTCACACGTAATATCCGGGCTGAGTTGCCTCTTACTCCTCTTGAATGCAACCCCATCTAGGAGTAAAGATGGAAAATTCCCATGGGCAGTCCCAATAGCGACAGCCATTCAGTCATTATAGGACTGACTGGACTCTTGTTTTTCCCCTCCTGGATTTGCGCAGCCTCCAGGCATTGAGATGAGACTGAAAGCTTCACATGGTCAGTCTGGGCTCAAAACTTATAATTGCATATCTGATTATATTGGACCCCAGTGGTTGGATGACTTCAGACAATGCTTTCATGTAGAAGTCAACAAGAGAGTATAGTGTCTTGTGTGAACCCAGCCAAAAGACAGGTTTATGACCAGTATGCCAGATGCTACTATCCCTGTAGGTTCCACCGAACAACCGAGAGACAGTTCTTCAGAACATGAATAACAAAATAGTAGAGTTGGAAGGGACTTCGGAGGTCATCTAGTCCAACCCCCTGCTCAAGCAGGAAACCCTATCCCATTTCAGACAAAAAGCTGTCCAATCTCTTCTTAAAAACCCCCAGGGTTGAAGCCCCCACAACTTCTGAAGGCAAGTTGTTCTGCTAATTAATTGTTCTCACTGTCAGGAAATTTCTCCTTAGTTCTAGGTTGGTTCTCCCCTTCATTAGTTTCCATCCGTTGCTTCTTGTTTTGCCTTCAGGTGCTTTGGAGAATAGCTTTGATCCCGCTCTTCTTTGTGGCAGCCCCTTAGATATAGGAACACGGCTATCCTGTTCTTGTCATGAAACTAGACATACCCAATTCCTGCAACGGAAACATTTGGAGTGATAGCAGAGGTAGAATCGGAACAGGCCATGTGGCAGCTCTCCTTTTGGATGCCACAAGGACCCCTTAATCCAGGGGTCCCCAACCTTGGCCACTTTTAAGACCTGTGGACCTCAACTCCCAGAATTCCCCAGCCAGCATGGCTGGCTGGGGAATTCTGGGAGTTGAGGTCCACAGGTCTTAAAGTGGCCAAAGTTGGGGACCCCTGCCTTAACTGACTGAATTTTTGTTTCCTCAGACGGTATCCCTGTGACATTTGCTTCCAGAGGCTGCGGCTCTGCCTCAGCATGCGCTCTGCCCCTGGAGACCAACATTTACTCTGCAGGAATCACTTTTCACCTCAAGAAAATTGGGTGCAGCCCAGCCCTGAAAGCCAGCAGCACCTAAGGGGATGCTGAGGGCCTTGGTGATGAAAGGCCTCTGAAGAATCCCCTCAGAAGATTTTTCCCTCACGGTCTTGCACCTTGCGAATGTGCTCCTGATATTATCTCCCTTACTGAATGTAATGAATAAACGGCATGAAAAAGAAGCACAAATGTGTATGTTTTTTGTTAGATTTTTTTTTTAAAATCACCTTTATTATTTTTCTAAAAAAAAACTCATGGCAGCAAATGTAACTAATACTCCTTTCTCTGCCTAACAAAAGGATTCCTGTTTCCCTGAATATAATAATAATGATGATGATGATGATGATGATGTTGGGAGGGACCTTGGAGGTCATCTAGTCCAACCCCCTGCTCAGGCAGGAAACAGTATTTATATATTTATTTATTTGCCTTTATTTATAGCAACGGTTCTCAACCTTTTTAATGCCATGACCCCCCAACCGGTCATAAGTCGAAGACTACTCAAGCGGTTGTAAGTCGAGGACTACTCATCTGGTGCAGCCCCGTTTGCAGAATGGGGCTTTTGGCGGGCTCAGCAGGGCAGAGACACCTGGACAATTCCTATTGGCTTTTGAAAGCCAATAGAATTAGACTCTATTCAAGAGAGTCTATTCTATTGGCTTTCAAAAGCCAATAGAAGAAAAGGGAGTAGCACAGCTAAGGAAAAGGGGGGAAAAAATGGCGGACTGCGTTGTTTGGCGACCCCCGTGAAATGGTCGTTCGACCCCAAATGGGGTCCCGACCCACAGGTTGAGAACCACTGATTTATAGAATGAAACAGAAGGAAGGGGAAAAAAAATAAAATAAAAAGGGAGCCAAACTACAAAAAAAAAAACAAACCCCTACATGTATGCATCACACGCAAACATGCTTACAGTATATAATTATTGTTTTTTCCCTCCCTTTTATGTAAATATATATATATATACGAGAAGCCTAGACAAATGGTTTATCGTAATAGATAATGTCTATATAAAGTTTCATAGAGTCGATACTTGGAAGGGACCTTGGTGCTTTTCTCATAAAGGTTATCCTCATAAAGGTTATCCTCATTTAGAGATTGCCCTCATTTAACAACTGTTCATAGTTACAACAGTGATGAAAAACTAACTTTATGACTGGTCCTCACATCTTCATACGGTACGTTTATAAAACAAAGGAAAGCTGAAATACGATCATAACCCAATTCACTTAGCACTTCACTGCTTTACTTAAGATTGAATTGCCGGCCCATTTGTGATCACTAAACAAAGATACTTATATCATTCTAGACAAATGACTGTCCAGTCTTTTCTTTAAAACCTCAAAAACATTTCTTCAAAGCCCCAAGAAAGAAAAGTCATTTTAAATAAAGAGAAGTAATTTCTTCATTTTGTTGAGGTCATTCATGTTTAATCTACTGTATAAGCAACTATTTCAAAATAAAATCAGGTCTTCCATGCTGAAGAGGACATAAATATATCCTTTTAAGATTTGATTAATCTCTTAGCAATAGAAAGAGCACCGTCTGTTGTGCAGACATCAATTTCCATGCATTAGGTTATGAAGTGCAAGAAAATACAGACGTACAAAAGTATTAAACCAGGGTTATCCAGCCTTGGTGACTTTATGACCTTGTGGACTTCAATTCCTAGAGTTCCAGTCTTAAAGTTGTCAAGGTTGGACACCTCTGAATTAAACCTTGTCTCAAAGTTGACCTCAGAATTTCAGGACCTTGCAAAGACATACATTTTAATGAAGAATTATTGTCATTTTTCTAACGCAATGTTTCTCAGACTTGGCAAATTTAAGACATGTGGACTTCAGCTCCCAAATTTCCTCAGCTAGCATGCTTGTTAGCTAATCTATGGTATAATATATACTATTATATAATTTCTCAACCTTAGCAACTCTAAGATGTGTGCTGGCTGGGGAATTCTGGAAGTTGAAGATTATATGTCTTAAAAGTTAGCAAATGTTAAGAAACAATGGTCTAAAATTAAGAGTCATGCAAGTAATGACTCAGATATAGAAAAATGTCACTGTAGAATTTAGTTTCCTGCTCAACTATGTTGCTTTAGAAAAAAATACACAATATTCTTTTTTGCAACCGCAAAGCTGGCACCTTTGCATGACCTTTTTGTTCTGAACAATAAATAGGCGTATTCATTGCCTAAGGCACGAGATACGTACATTGTTTTATAGATACACATTTAATTCTTTCTCTTCCTTGTAAAAGTAGACGGAATTTCCTGCACCGATTTCCCATACCAAATGAAGCTTCATTGAGAATGCGTGAGGATTGGGTCTCAGGTTGGCTAGGAGTGGACAATCCGATAGGTCAAAAGATGACCTCAAATTTCATTTTGTTCCGGAAAAAAGTTGGAGGTCCAGATGGATATATCCTACTTCCATTTGCATCCTTAAAATCTTTTACCAATAGCCCAAAAAAATCATCTGAGTAAAATTTACCCAAGCATTTTCACCCAAGATATATTCGGGGCAGGGTTACCCACACTGATGTGTGGCATGGCAACAGGCATCAAAGGCAAGAAGGTAGCTCCAATGGCATGGTCAAAGAACCACTCTTTCTTTATATGTGTCACAGGCTCATCACATTTTAAAAAGGAGTGTGATCATATGTTCCTGACCGCCATCTTGCTCTGCACCCTCAAAGCAGGGCAAATGGAACACCGGTGGTAGCAAGCCTTCATCCTAGCAGCTCCATTTCCATTTCTTGTTAAAATTAGTTTTAAAATTAGTTTTTAATTAGTTTTAGGCTTTTTCACAAGAAGGGAACCAATACCTGACTCAATGTGTTTTGTGAATCCAGATATGGATGACCAATTAAGTGTGTTGGACAGATACCATCCATAGCAAATCCTTTTAGAGGGAGGAAGGGAGACCAGTGAGTGGGCAAGAAGGAAGGAAGGAAGGAAGGAAGGAAGAAAGGAAGGAAGGAAGGGAGGGAGGGAGGGAGGGAGGGAGGGAAGGAGGGAGGGAAGGAAGGAAGGAAGGAAGGGAGGGAGGGAGGGAGGGAGGGAGGGAGGGATGGTTACAAGCTACCCAGTCAAGCTTAATCACATCATGCCAAATGCTTTTAAGAAAAACTATCTAAAAAGTCAACCACCACAATCCTAATCTCTTTAAGACATCAATCAAATGCATATTGGTCAGCTCAGAGCATGGGAGATAGGCCAGCATTTCCAGCTAACACAGCCCTGCATCATTGTGCGTCTTTGCTTCGGTTAACAAATGTGGGCAAGGGAAATGATTTTGGTCAGCACACGGGTAAACACCTTGTGTTTGATTTCCACAAAAACTGGCCGGGTCTAAAGTCCAAGTAGAAAAAAAGAATTACAGGGGCAAATATTTACACATTCTGTGTATACAAGGGAACACGGATTTGATTTCCTCCATGCCATGGGCACGATATGACTGTTCCCCAAAATCCTCTAGTGCAGTGTTTCTCAACTTTGGCAGCTTTAAGATGCATGGATTTCAACTCCCAGAATTCCCCAGCCAGCAGAATTCTGGGAGTTGAAGTCCATGCATCTTAAAGCTGTCAAGGTTGAGAAACACTGCCTCTTAGAAAGAAAAAAATAAATGAGAGGCCTAGGACAGTGATGGCGAACCTTTTAGAGACCGAGTGCCCAAATTGCAACCCCAAACCCACTTATTTATTGCTGGGTGCCAGGTAGGCGTGGCCCACTGGGTGGGCGTGGCTGTGGTGGTCATGGCAGACTGGGTGGGTGTGGCCAAGGCGGGTGTGGTCACCTCGATGTTGCTCATGGGGATGCCTGTGGGGGCCGGGCAGGGTTGGGGGAGATCCAGGGGGTCTCTGGAAGGTGGGATGGTGGGTAGGAGGCTCGTCCTGCGGGGTGAGGCGAGGCAGGGTGGGGGTGCCATTATGTCAGGGCAAGGCAAGCCAGGGGCCGGGGCAGCTGCTGCCTGACACCATCGGCCCCCGCACACACAGGCCTGCGAGTGCCTGGGGGCCAACAGTGTCCGTCAGCAGCCACAGCCTGCCGGCCCCTCGACCGGTGCACTCTGGGGCTCCGCAGCCTACCACCAGCAGTTCAGAGAAGTGCCCACAGAGAGGGCTCTGAGTGCCGCCTCTGGCACGCGTGCCATAGGTTCGCCACCACTGGCCTAGGATTTCAAAGTGGAAACAGAACATCTCGTCAGGTCCTTTGGCTTCTTCCTTTGAGAAAGTCAGGGTAACCTTTATTGAAACTTCGAGTCCTTTTTCTTTAACTCTTCACCTTCCAAAGCTGAATGAACGTGGTCAATGATATAACCATGTGGCGGGAATGAAGGACTCATATATATCTGGTCCTTTTGGAGTGGGGTGGAGATTTTGGGAGGCTGTGTTCACATTTCAGCAGCACAATCTGGAGTTGTGGGCAGGGTTAAAAAGAATTGAGTTCATGCCTCTTTGAGAGTTCCTTATCCCAGTGGTAAAATGGGGCCAAAGTTCCTTCTTGTCTCTTCCTTCCCTGGAGAAACGGCTGCAGAAGCTTTCCCATGGGTGCCTCCAGCATTATTCACCTGCATCTTGCTTAATTTATTTATTTATTTATTTTTAAAATTTATAAGCCGCCCCACTCCCGAAGGACTCTGGGTGGCTAACAATAAAAAACACATAAAACATAACAAAACAACAATACAAAAACAATCATCCAGGAGTAAGGTTTTATAAACCCCAGGCCTGCCGGAAAAGCCAGGTCTTAAGTAGCTTACGGACGACCAACAGGGTGGGAGCGGTCCTAATCTCCGGGGGGGGGGAGCTGATTCCAAAGCGTGGGTGCCATCAGAGAGAAGGCCCTCTTCCGCGGCCCCGCCAAATGGCACTGCTTGGCCGACGGGGCCTGAAAGAGGCCCAGCCTGTGGGATCTAACCGGACGTAGGGAACTATGAGGTAGTAGGCGGTCTCGCAAATGCATGAGGCGCCGCAACTGTGGGAGACAAAACAAGAACTCCACCTCAGACATTTGAGAAATGGTTTGCCCTTGCCGTCTTTCTAAGGGCTAAGAAAAAGTGACTGGCTCAAATCACCCAGCTGGCTTCATGCCTAAGACGGGAGAACAACTCATCTGTCCCATTTTCAGGACTTGTCCCTTACACACCGCTCCAAACCGGTGTCGTCCCCAATTCGGGTCTG